CATATTTGTAACGGAGGTACCAGCTCAGGATCTCTTTCTCTACTAAAAAACAGATAAGACAGTATTCTATCATAACTTTATTTTTTTAAAATAACCAATTTCACAAAATACATACATTACAATTTATGAAGTTGTCAAACAGAAGGTACCCAAGGCACCCAGCACCTCAAATTTGACATTTGTTGAAAAACAGTGCAACTAATTTCATGGACAAAAAAACCCTAACTATTTTTTTTAAATCAATAACAATACAGAACTCCATGGCCAACTGTAATGTTTGGAAAAAGCAATTTAGAGAACTTCTGCTAACATAGAGGTAAATCAAACCATATAAAACAATTGATGCAAAACATCTCACAATGGGCTGTGACATGAAGGCGATTTTGGATGGTCTTTATATTATAACTGCAACACAAGTTACCCTTAATTACAACGAGGATGCACATTTTATAGATACCCCGATCTCGAGGCAGATTTTAGTACCTATGTAGAAGGGCCCTTTGTGTGCCAACTTAAACTCTGCTTCACAGAATTAATAAAGTTGATTGCAACATGAAGAAGCCGCCTGTCAATATCCTCCAAAGTCTACAAAGTTCGGGTAGTTCTATTTGTCATATATTAAATTATACACTATGTGTGATTTTTTTAAAAAGTGTTTAGAATACTATACAAGGCTCCAGTGGGTTGGTGCAGATCAGACATGTGCAAACTTAGGCCCTCCAGATATTTTGGACTTCAACTCCCACCATTCCTAACAGCTGGAAAGCTGTTAGAAATTGTGGGTGCTGAAGTCCAATACACCTGGAGGGCTGTAGTTTGCCTATGCCTGGTGTAGATGCGTGCAGCACATTTGTGGTGACTATGAATTAACAATTACTGTTCCTGTTCCCCATGTGCCAGTTTTCCCACCAAAAGTAGCTCTGAGTAGCCAGCAATGTCATCTCTTCTCTGCAGGGTCCTACAAAGTAAAATGTGAACAAATGTGCTTTGCATTTACACAATGAAATTCTAGCAACAACTTATCCAACTGAAATGTAAGATGAGCTCACTGCCCTTTTTAACAGAAAACTCAGATAGTCAGTGCTGACAGAAATGGAGTCAAAATCAGTCACTGGGTGGAAAGGACGAAGTATCAACATTTTAAAAGGATGTCCAAAGTTTACATAAGTTCAAAAATATTTTAGAATACCCTCAAATGGCACTCCCCCAACAGCATAATGAAAACTAGGTTTTCTCAAATGCAATGGAAAACTGGAAGATCAAGGCGATATTCTATAAGACAAAACAGCTGGCCAAGTGGCACGATGAACAAGAGCACTAATGTCAGAAGAATGGCTGCACAAGTTAACTAAAGATACACTCTACTATAATCAGAAAAACATAGAGCAAGTAATAATTCTGTTAACTGTAATAACACAAACCAACTAAAAGTTTAAGTTGAGAGATTTTTTTTTTTAATCGTGTCAGGAGCAAGTTGAGAAACTAAAGTTGCTTCTGGTATGAGAGAATTGGCCGTCTGCAAGGACATTGCCCAGGGAACGCCTGGATGATTTGATGTTTTTATCATCCTTGTGGGAGGCTTCTCTCATGTCCCCGCATAAGGAGCTGGAGCTAATAGAGGGAGCTCATCTGCCTCTCCCCGGATTCAAGCCTGCAACCTGTCAGTCTTCAGTCTTACCGGCACAGGGGTTTAACCCACTGTGCCACCGGGGGCTCCTAGTTGAGAGATGATACAGATTGATAGCAAATGAAACAGTTTATGTGCACAAAAAAGCAAAAGTATCTCAACCACCCATGTGGACAGTTTTGGAGTATTTCAGATTTTGAAATTCCAGTTCAGTGATGCTGAATCTGTCATGTATTAGATAAATATAAGCATGAATAGTACTGAATTGTTCATCTATCTTTCACATCCTTTGGTCTATGGAATAAGAGACATTCAAGGAGATGCTCAGAAGTTATAGCTCTCTCATAACATTTCCTTTTAACAAAAGACTGTTTCACAATCTTAGAAAGTTAATAAAAATTGCCTGTTACTATTCTGATTAGATACAATTCTAAAATTATCTAAAGCTTTTAGTAGTACTATTGCTTCTTGTGTAAATATTGACTCAATTAATTAAACTGAAATGGGTGTTAATATATTGTTTCTTAAGTTCCACTGTATGCCTAAATCCAACTCCCTGCCATTTAGGAACACCCAATCAAAGCACTCCCAACAAATGGCCATCCAGCCTTTGTTTAAAAATAAATCTCCAGAAGAGACTCTACCATGCTCTGAAGCAGCATATTCTACTGCAAAATCACTAGTGAAATTAATATACAGTAATGGTTTGGGAAATCGATTTACAAGTTTTTTCACACCATACAACTTAAGAGGTTTTAGAAAATTATTGGAATCTCCAATTTACTGAGAAATTTATCACAATACATAATACCTGCCAATCTTGCTGGGAATAAAATACTGTTGCCATGCTTCTGAGATGGAACAGGTCAAGTATTTCACTATATAATGAAAACTGAAACATTTTCTGTTCCTGGTTTGAAAGTGTTATTTCCTGTTTAATTGTGTAGTAATTACTTTGAAAGTTGTTAAACTCCAAAAAATCTGTTTTTGTGGCTGCTGTAAACTATGTTGAATCGGTTGAAATTCTGTGAGATATTCATTGAAACACCATAGTAAAATGTGCTGCAGGATGTCCCACAAAAACAAAGTTTTTTCAGTTTAATACAATTTTCCAATTTTTAGTGATAGAACTAATTAGGAAATGACATTTATAGCCCAGGAACAAAAATCGTGTCATACAGTGATCTGCTGAACACTGAAGACAACATGATGATTGGTCTATAAAATTAGGATTTATATGGCTACGTAGTACAGATGATTTTATCTTCTAGATATTTACAATGTCAGTTTTGAAAAGCCCCAGATAAACATGGCCAATAAGAATGAAATATGTAAACCATGGTTCAAAATACCCGGAAAGTCACATTTCCATGTGCTGATCAAGACGTAATTGAATTGGTTAATTTCTTATCAGCTGCACTTGTGTCGGCTGTCATTTAAAAACATTCTCAACATCAAACGAATGTCAATTAATTTAGAATCTAAGTTCACATTAAAAATCTTTTCTAAGGTTTCTGAACTTTTATGTTAATAATTAAAATCAGGTAAACAAAACTTGATTCACATATTATGTTGGCAATTTAACAGAAAGTTATAAGAATTTGCGTGACGAATGGAAATAGAAGAGAACTGAAAAATACCAAACTGAAGCGTGTTTGAGTCATAACAAATTATTTATTGGAACTATATAACATAACCCTTTAGAAATACCATTGTTTAGAAGTACAGTTTGAGTACTCCTTATCCAGAATGTTTAGGACTGCTGGTGTTTGGAATTTTGAAATAGCAGTATTTATTACACTTTACGAGATATTTTGGACATGATACCCGTCTAAACACAAAATGTTTTTGTTTCATGAACATCTTATACATATAGCATATAATACTATACAATATGTTTAATAGTTCAAAGCAGATATTGTGGGATTTTCTGTTTTGATATACTGGGTTATATGACTGTGGGGAATGGCCCTCAGATAACCTAGTTCGAAGAAGTTATTGTGAGATTTTCTGCCTTGATATTCTGGGTTATATTGCGGTGTGGAACAGCCCCCAGATCATTTCCTTTTTGGCCTAATGTGCCTCTATGTTTTATACTTGTTGTTAGCTGCTTTGAATCTCCAATGGGAGGGAAATGCCGGATATAAATAAATAGTCCGATTCAAACCAGTATGGAAGAAAGTGCGGATAGGAAATCCTGGAACCAGTTTGAAGCCTGGTTTGAGGACAGACCAAAGAGCACTAATGTGCCTGAAGGGCTTCCCTTTTGCCATGCTTTTATGGTGTTGTTTTTATAGCTGCACGCAATAACATCCTGCGAAACTTACTGGCAGCACATGGGGTGCAGGCCCAAAATTAATAAGAACATCAGCCCTGGCCTTGTCTTAACTCAACTGCAGAGGATGCCTGTCCTGTTTGGCATAGGTCTGCCTATGCAAAGCAGGTGAACATAGCATTGAATGAAACATGCAGAATAATCACAGGATGTCTTAAACCTACACCTGTTGATAAACTCTACAAGCTAGGTGGCATTGTCCCCCCCTCCCCCGATGTGCGATGGGAAGTTGCTGCTAAATGTGAGAGAAATAAGGTTGAACATTGTGAAAACCATCCACTACATGGCTACCGGCCTCCTCCCAGTAGACTCAAATCAAGGAAAATCTTTATGAGAACTACCACTCCTCTTGGCGTCCCTCCAGCAACAGGAAGAGTATCCCTCTGGGCAGCTAAATCAGGAAATCCCAACTGGATGGCCTCCCCCCGCAACGGTCTTCCTCCAAGGGCAAACCAAGAATGGGCAACCTGGAAGTCCCTGAATAGATTAAGAAGCAGAGTGGGCAGATCAAAAGACAACCTGGCAAAATGACACCGCCTAAAAGAATCCCATACTTTGTGTGACTGTGGAGAACAGACAACTCTGCATCTGTATGCTTGTCCATTGTGCCCTGCCTCATGTACATAGGAGGAATTGTTGGAGGCTACAGACAATGCCATGTTTTGGTCAAAAGATATTTAGCCGCCTACACACCTTCTATTTTTATCAGTTTTATACTAATTTATGCAATGCTTTTGATACGAAATAAATAAATGGATGTTGTTTATCTACCTGAAACAAGCTCCGAACTGCATCAAATGGTCAGTGTAGATGGGGGCCGAAAAGGAAGAAGTGTCTGACGAAGGCGCACTGATAAACAGTGTGGGGCACAATACTCACCTGGGGGATGACAAGAGGCATCTTCTGCTTGTAGTGCGTTGGCCAATACTCACCTTTCCTGACTGTATGTTGCCATGAAGAAGGCAGCAGGTGGGGCTGTGCTCGCCCCCTCCCTTTTGCCTCTCTCCCCCCCACGAACGCATTGGTGGGGATACTTACCCGTCGGGGATTGTGTTCTTCTTGACCATGCTGAGGAGCCAATTAGTAGCGAAGGAAACAAATCAGTCTATTCCAGTCAGGCCTGGCTTTCGGGGCCTAAGGGTGAGGGGAGAACTGGGCCCTCTCCACGCTTATCCCTTCTGTAGTAGAGAGGCGAAGGGGAGAAGACTCCACTGAGGTACCCAAACGCAGCTCGGTCACTCTTAACTCCTTATTTCTTTCTAGAGATGCTGTCATGTCCCTCAAAGGGCCTTTCCTTCCACCGGCGGCCTTCTGCTTCCCAAACAGCCCCGTCCTGCTTCCCCTTCCGCCTCCAACCGTGACTGAACGTCGCATCGCGAGACTTACATTGGCGGCTTTGTCAATGCCTCTCCTCTCGCGAGAGTTGAGAGGCGTCCCTCCAATACTGACGGGAATGAAGTGGTTACGCCTAGGACTTCAATTCCCAGAAGCCCCTGATAATTTAGCCAACGGTGTAGAATTCTGGGAAATGTAGTCCACAAGCCTTGAGGGCAATTGCTGCTGTAGGCAGTTTTGAGCTATTAATAGAGTACAGGAAGGTATTACACAGGTTGGCTAAACTAAGGCCCTTTCCACACACCTATATCAAATCCCATATTATCTGCCTTGAACTGAGTTATATGGCAGTGCGGTCTCAGGGCCCTTCTAAACAGGTTTATAACCAAGGATCCAATCCCAGGTTGTCTGTTTATCCCAGATTATCTGGCAGTAAAGACTCATATAATCCAGTTCAAAGCAGAAAACCTGGGATCAGATCCTGGGATATAGGGTCAGCCTGGCCCCTTCCACACAGCTGTCTGCTTTGCTCTTGTCCACTTTGAGTAACTTTGGTTTAGTTGATTTCTTGTGGTTTTTGGCTTTATGAAGAGAGAGAGAGAGAGAGCAAGAGAGGGAGTGAGGTGGAATGATGACGGTATGAAGGAAATGCTGCTTCTGCTGCTTCATTTTGTGCTTTGTCTTCCTTGCCACAACTTTGTGCTTCTACCATTTTAAAGTTGATCTTTCTTTTTTAATTGTTCCATTTGAATGTGCAACACAACACAAAAACTGCATTCACACGCAACAAAAATGGGGGTGGGAGTTGGAACAGATGAATAGCATGCCAGTGGAAAATTGCTTTGAGATAAGAGCACCTCAAGTTAGGTGTCAAGTCACAGAACGAAGTAAACTCTTAAGTCAAGGCATGAATCTCATGTTTATACTGGGTTTCATCTCCAAAATATTTCATTATGTAACAGTATTCAAATACAGGTATTTCTCACATATACCCCACCCCAAAAGAGAAAAGTGGTGGATCTGGTCAAGGTGGTCCACGCCTTAGTCACCTCTAGACTGGATTACTGCAATGCACTTTATGTGGGGCTGCCCTTGAAAACGGCCCGGAAATTTCAGATGATCCAACGAGTGGCAGCCAGGTTGTTAACTGGGGCTCCTTACAGAGAGAGGTCATCCCTCCTGTTTAAGGAGCTCCACTGGCTGCCTTTCATCTACCTGACCCAATTCAAGGTGCAGGTTCTTACCTACAAAGCCCTGAACAGTTTGGGACCTGCCTACCTGTGTGACCGCGTCTCTGTATACAAACCCACACGATCTCTTCGATCATCCGGGGAGGCCCTGTTCTCGATCCCACCAGTATCGCAGGCGCGATTGGTGGGGACGAGAGAGAGGGCCTTTTCGGTGGTGGCCCCTCGACTTTGGAATTCACTCCCTAAAGACATCAGACAGGCTCCAACCTTGGCAGTCTTCAGGAGGAACTTGAAGACGTGGCTGTTCCAGTGTGCCTTACCGGAATAATGTTCCCATAGCACTTTGTCCTCCAAAGCACTTTACATTTTTTAAGTCTGCTCGTATGCCCTTCCATAAACACCAGTATCATCTTCCATTCATGTCCCAGCATACCTCCAATTTTAACTTTACATTTGGCCTCCCCTCTGTTTTTAATTATGTGTTGTTTTTAATAGTGTTGTTTATTTTATTGTCTATGTTTTTAATTGCTTGTATTGTTGTTTTATTGCTTGTATTGTTGTGTTTGGGTTTGGCCTCATGTAAGCCGCACTGAGTCCCTTGGGAAGATGGTAGCAGGGTACAAATAAAGTTAATAAATAAATAAGAAATAAATAAAAATTGAAATCCAAAAGATTTCTAGCTGCAAGCATTTTGAGTAAGGAATATTCAACTTGTAGTTCTCTATATTGAAGACTAATGTTTACCGTATATACATATATACACACACACACACACACACACATATTTACTTAGAGTATCAAATTACTTGAAAAAGCCTACTTGTTTTTGCCATGTTATTAGTGAATGTAGGTCAATAGCCATGTAATATAGAAGTGACTGATGACATCTACTTTGCTTATGGTTTCTTCAGTCCTTGGCAGCAATCCATTCTAGGTGCTGCCATATATAGTTGGCTAGTTTCTTTGCTTTAGTTGTGATGTTCCAAGTTTGCAAATCTGTTATAATGTACAATGGGCCCTTGGTATCCACTGGAGTTCCAGGACTATTCATGGGCACCAAAATTAGTGGACACTCAGGTCCCATTCTATAAAATAGCATAATAAAATGGTGTTCCTTATATAAAATGTTGGAATCAAGGCTTGCGTTTTGGATTTTTTTGGGAGGGGGTGTATTTTCAAGCCATGGACGATTGAATCTGGATGCAGAATCTGTGGGTATGGATGGCTGGCTGTAGGGTGTCAGCACACTGTTATTTTGTATTATTTTGAACTGTATAAAATATTTTACACCAGCATACATTACATTTAACAGGTGAACAACACTGGCACAAAACCTTCCTGTACTATCTAGAAAAAATGGTGACCTGTGATACCGATTAATGTGTGAAAAGTACATTGTGGAGACATTTTTAACTGATCTTTATATAATACATCTAGTCTGGTTTCTAATGAATGACAAACTGAAATGATATGAATACAGGGTATATGTTTCTGTGAATCATACTCCATTTGGATATTTTGTATTTTTACAGCTTCCATGATAGCTCCCAATTATTAAATTGGGGAATGCATTATAACAACAAAAACAGAGACTTCCATGGAGAGAAAAAATAAGGCAAGAACTGGAAAATATTATTAAACATTTACATTTTCAAATTCAGTGTTCAAAATTTCAAATGCATTAAACAGCCTTGTTAATATAGAATAGATTATACAGTTATTGTACCATTAGGCCTTTGTTTACCAAAGAAATGTTTTCCAGATAAGACAACCGTTAACAGGAATTTCTGTGGATATGTTGGCTTTTTATTTGTCTAAATCTTTTGTCATAATATATATATATATATATATATCTCAGAAGCAGCTTGTTTTATGACAATTATTTGGATGACTGCTGAAGTTTTGAGTTTGTTCCCTACCCTTGTCAGAATTCCTGAAATTTTACATAGATATTTAAAAAACAGAAATGTAACATGTTTTTCGTATAAACAAATATCCATGCTGTAAAGCCAGCATCTGTTGTTCATCTGTTATTTATATTTGACTTTTCTTCCAACCTTTTCCAGCTGCTAGGGCTTAATTCCTGATGTATGATCAGTTTGTAAACCACTATCATATTTCTTTTTTACATTGTGGATTTATCAACATAGTTATACAGTTTTTGGGAAGAATTGTTTAGCAAATGAAGACAAGCAGGTGTCTCTTTTGGGTGTGATATTGTATTCTGTTTAAAAGTAAAACAGCAACATAGTCATTATTCATATGTAAAGGGAACTCTGATGATTTAAAAGTTAAGAAGACAGTGTATCATTGTGTTGAAATGTCTGGCTAGTGAACACAATATTGTAAAAAAGATACAAACTCATTCTTTAAAAGTATGCAATTTCATTTGTTTAATTTCCTTTATGAAGTGTGCCATCTAGATGATGATTTAAAATATTTTCTTCTGTCTTATCCAGAAAGAAAAAATCCCAGAAAGAATTGTGAGGAAAATGGATTTTTTACAGAAGGAAAGTGCTAGAAAGAAGGTATGTTCTTTCAGTTTACCATTTACTAAAGTAAGAATTTTGAAACTGCTGCCTTTTTGTAGTGCTGCCCTTCTACACTGCCCTATATCCCAGGATCTGATCCCAGATTATCTGCTTATTCCAGATTACAAGGCAGTGGAGACTCAGGGCCCTTCCACACAGCCATATAACCCAGAATGTCAAGGCAGAAAATCCCACAATAACTGCTTTGAACTGAAATATCTGAATCCACACTGCCATATATCCCAGTTCAAAGCAGATAACGTGGAATTTTATTCAGATGTGTGGAAGGGGCCCCAGGGACCTTCCAGACAGGTCCAAAATGAGGGGCCTGTTTCGCTTTTTTATCTGAGGCATCCAAATGATGTCTCAGAAAAAGTGAATTAATGCAGAGTAAACTGGGGTTTCCCAGTTTACTCTGCATTAATTAATCACTCCTAAAGATCTGGACCTTAAGCTAAGGTCCAGGTCTTTAGAGGTGAGGGCCCTATGTGGCAGGCCCATAGCCAAGATTTCGTTTCGGAGGGGGGGGGCTGAATTTTTTTTCAGGGGGGTTTTTGGGGGGGCTGAGTCTGAGTGAAAGAGGCTCTAGCCTAGCAAACCTTTTGTATCATTACCCCAATACCCCCATGCATATGGGATATATTGATTATGGTGATCAGATCATGATATGAATAAACATAACAGTTTAAATAATGCACCAGTAAGGCCTTTTCGCGAACCACCATGAGAATTTCGGGGGGGGGGGCTGAAGCCCCTCAAGCTCCCCCCCCCCCCCCCCCCGCTACATGCTTGCTATGTGGACTGACTTCTGGCACAGCTTCTGCAGCCTGGGGACATTAGTCTCCACAGCCATTCCACTTCCTTGGGTTCCCAAAAGCCCAGGAGAGCAGGATGGCACCTCTCCAACCCCCACCCCCAAATTTACTAGTGGGGCCTGCGAGCAATGCAATCCCCTCTGTATAAGACATCTGACGTGAGAAAATGGTACATCATGAATTGAGGGGGAGGAGGCATCCCCTCTCACTTCATGACATCATTTTCTCATGTACGGGTGGTCTGCACTGCCTGCAGGCCCCTTTGCCATCTAGCCACCTCTCCCAGGAAAGCATGAGGTTTGCGTTGGGGGTGGAGGCTGAAACCCAAGAGGAAATAGGTTGTTTTAACCTGCTCCCTCCCTTAGGCCCCTTCTACATTGCCATATAAAATCCAGATTATATACATTGAACTAGATTATATGGCAGTGTAGACTCATATAATCCAGTTCAAAGCAGATAATGTGGATTATCTGATTTGATAATCTGGGTTATATGGCAGTGTAGAAGGGGCCACATATAATCCAGTTCAAAGCAGATAATCTAGGATCAGATCCTGGGATATATTTTTAAACCTGATAATGTAGAAAATTCTTCCATCCCAGGAAAAAGATGGGATATAAATAAGGTAAAAACTTACTTGCAACTTTCCTCTTGTTTAATGTAGCAAACTGAAGACAATGTATATGTTGATAGCATCAGTTCAAAAGGAGCTGCTGAGGAAGATCCGCAGGAAGGTAATTAAATGTTATTTTTTCATTACTAAGTTGATTTTTAAAGGATTTTTTTTTACAAATGTGGCTTAAATTGGACTCTAATGTAAAGACCAACACTATATATACGTTTATTAACTATTTTACTCTCTGTGGATAGTTGTCGCATATAACACAAAATCATGAATATTTAAATGCGTTTTGTAGTATTATGTATGGAAATTGTAAGCTATTATTTAAAAATGCAATTTGAAATCATGTGTTTTATGCTCCATTGTTGAACATCATTTATAATTTTTGTATACTTCTAGGACTCAAGTTAATAATAAAGATTGATAACCATTTTCAAATATGATTCTTGCCATGTTTCCAGACTTCATTAGGTTCCACATGAGACTGCAGAAAAGAGGAGACATGATAGCCATGTATAAATATGTGAGGGGAAGTCATAGGGAGGAGGGAGCAGGCTTGTTTTCTGTTCCCCTGGAGACTAGGGCGCAGAACAATGGCTTCAAACTACAAGAAAAGAGATCCCACCTGAATATTAGAAGAACTTCCTAAATGTGAGAGCTGTTCAGCAGTGGAACTTTCTGCCACGAGTGTAGTGGAGGATCCTCCTTTGGAAGCTTTTAAACAGAGGCTGGATGGCCATCTGTTGGGGGTGCTTTTAATGCAATTTTCCTGCTTTGGGCAGGGGGTTGGACTGGATGGCCCTTGAGGTCTCTTCCAACTCTTTGATTCTATGATTCTATGAAATGTTTCTTGATGTTTCTTTGCAATATCTATTATAAAACACGTCTTTAAAATCTTCTTTAATATAGTTGTTACTGATGTGGAACAACAGGTTAGACTGACTGAAGCATTGCGCGATAGAGTAAGAGGGAAACTGAAAACTGTCAAGGTAATGAGTAACTTCAATTGAACTTGTGTTTGGCATTCAAATGAAGCCTACAATAACATGTATTTGTGTTTTTATTCAAGGGGGATGGTTCAACCAATTTAAAAGGTTTGTCTTCTTCTCTACACTTTTTGGATTCTCTCCGAAAGAATAAGTCAAGTTCCAGATATGGGAATCTTGTGAGTATTCTGTGTTCTTGTTTATTCTTTGTCTTCAATATTAAAAAGTACACTGAGATATCCTTTTATTTTAGGCCAAAGAAGAAGATTTTTTCCCTGATAACCAGGATGCACCTACTGAAGGAAACCCAAACAACTTTGACGTTTTGAGTCTTGGGGTAATAAAACTTTCATAATATACTGTCAGAAATGATAAACTAAAAGTGTCTGAATTCCAATTATGCGTCTTCACATGTCCTTCATTTAAGACTTTACCTATGTCTCATATATATATATAGAGAGAGAGAGAGAGCGCAAACTTAATGTTTCTTATGCTTAAAGGATTACTAATATACCATAGTAAGAACGAAAATAAGGCGTTTGTGTTGAGTGCAAATAGTGATGGCAATTTTAAGAGAAGTGTAGCATTTATTTATTTGGGTTGTTGTAGTTTTTTTTGGGCTATGTGGCCATGATCTAGAGGCATTCTCTCCTGACGTTTCACCTGCATCTATGGCAAGCATCCTCAGAGGTAGTGTGGCCATGTTCTAGAAGCATTCTCTCCTGACGTTTCGCCTGCATCTATGGCAAGCATCCTCAGAGGTAGTGCTGCACAATTTATGTGTTAGGAACATGGCATGTGAGAAGAATCAAGAAAACTAGAACCCATAAAAGAAGAAACAGAATGCCTTGACATAGCTGTACTTGGTATGTGTGAGTCAGCGACATTTTCAATCAGTGTTTTAAGAAAACAGGGTTGCATGCTGTAGTGAGGTGTAGCAAAAGCTGGCAGGAAATGCAACCAAAGTCAGAATTATCAATGCCATAATATTTCCTATTTCTAGGTATGGTTGTGAATACTGAATAGTTAAGAAAGTTTACAGGAAGAGAATTAACAGGATTTGAATGTGGTGCTAGAGGATATCTGCAGATACCACAGACTGCGAAAATGAACAGATCTTAGAGTAAATCAAGCTTGAACTCTTACTAGAAGCCAAAATGTCTAAATTGAAGCTGTCATACTTTGGACATGTTATTAGACAATGTGATTAATTGAAAAAGGCAACAACACTTGGCAAAATGGAAGGCAAATGGAATAGAGCAGTTGTACTCAACCTGGGGTCCCCAGATGTTTTTTGCCTTCAACTCCCAGAAATCCTAACAGCTGGTAAACTGGCTGGGGTTTCTGGGAGTTGTAGGCCAAAAACATCTGGGGACCCCAGGTTGAGAACCACTGGAATAGAGGAAGAATGTCCTAGAGGTGGATTTACTCAGTAAAGGAAATCACCTCCCTGAATTTAGAAATCTTGAGAAGGGTTGGTGGAGGTCCCATATTCATAGGGTTGCATAAGTCAAAGTATAACATCAATAACAAAATACAGAGTGTTTCAAAAAGATGGAGCCAATTTGAAATCACTATATCTCTGCAATCACAAACTACCCATGAATGAAACTCTTACCACTTGAAAGGGTGGGGCATAGAGTTTCAAATGATTACTGCTAGATGACTCTCCCAGGCACAAACTCAGTCATTTGTAAGTTGGTGACCCTGCAACATAAGGGTCACCTAATAAGATATTCTCCATTTGTGGGGTCATTTTTTAGTTTTGTTTCTGGCTGAATATGGTTGGTAAAACTTGGTAACTCATTAAACTGTCTGTAACTTTTTGAATAATAGTAATATGTTGCTGTCATAAAATATACTGCTTTGAAATTGTATTCATAATTTTGAAACTTCTTGCAGATCCATTGAATCATTGGCATTTTTATTTGTGTTGACTTGCCATTAAGTGGTTGATTTATTGGGAAGTAGTTAAAGCTTAATGAAAGGCTTAGTACCAAGATGGTGATACTGTGGCAAATAGATATTAGTTCTTATTAAGGAAATTAACTTTGGGAAATAAGAAAATTGAATGGTTAGCAGTTTTCAAGTTGCTCAGCTGTTTTGTCTATCTTAGAAGGAAGTTCCATTAGATGAAGCCTTGGCATTTTTTACATCAACTTTTGAAAACCACACAAAGCTGAAAGAAATTGATCAAAATGTTGACCAGGTATTCTTTCTTCGGTTTGCATGGTTTTTATTCCTGTTACATTAAATTGATCAGATCACATCCCACTAAAGAATTCACCCATATTTGAAAGCCCTGTTCTTTTGTCTTTTTTCATTTGTAAAAGAAGAATTATTAAGTATATTTTCAAGCTGATCTATATACAGTAACCCTGAATATAGGTTCTAACCAGTGACGTATCTTTATTTTTTTTCCTTGTTGCTTACATCTTAAACTTTAAAATTACCTTGTTCCACTCTTGTTTCCTACATTATGATGCAAAGACTATACATGTGAATTACAAAATGTAGAAGTCAGTCTTAAAGCCATAAAAAGTGAACAGGATGCCAGCCAATAATGTTGTTGAATTTTTAAAATGAAAATGATTATAATAGTTTCTCAGTTTTGCAGTATGGCTGAAAGATAGTCCAAGTAGTACCAGAAAAAATAAAATAATAAGGCAAATATTCATCAACCATTTATTTCTAGTTGGAAGTCGGAGAGTAGCGAAAACACTCTGATTCAGTTTTCATCCAAACTCACAGGAGGCTTTTCATCTTGACATGTTGTTTTATGTATAAATATATGCCATTAGTCAATGGCATAAACAGAGATATACTCACAATGTAGTATCAGCAACAGATGTACGGCAAGAAGAGAATCATGGCAAGAGAGAGAACACACACTTCCTGCCCTCTTGTATACCCATTGCTTGCTCGTCATCACCCAGGGACAAAAGTGAATGATGCAACCCTTGTCATGACTGTCACATGGTCATGACTCAGCTTCTTTAGCATGTCCTTTAAGTTACACATCACCACCCACTTTATAATTCAGCAGGTGTCTGACCACATGCCCATTAGAACTGTATTTTCCACCAGTTTTACACAATAGGGTTATAGCCAATGCATTCCTGTTTAACAATGCATGATCTATCTAAAAGGCATTTTGTCATTTCTTAGCCGCCTTCTAAACTGCCCTATACTCCAGGATCTGAACCCAGATTATCTGGTTTAAACTGGATTTTATATGTCTCCACTGCCAGATAATATGGGATAAGTAGATATTCTGGGATCAGATCCTAGGCTATAGGGGCAGTGTGGAAGGGATCTTAGACTCTATATCCCAGGATTTGATCCCAGATTGTATGATTTGAACAGGATTATGTGTGTTTCCACTGCCATATAATCTGGAATAAGCATATAATCTGAGATAAGATCCTGTTATATAGGGCAGTGTAGAAGGGGGCTTAATAATATAATGTTTTCACTTTATGGTTACTGTATATAAATATAGTTTATTTTATCTGAAAATAATGTGTGTTCATTTTAATCTTTTTATCTAAAATGTGCTCCATTTTAAAGTTAACTGTCCACTTTTCTCTAAATTCAGTATTTCACACTGATTTTGTTCATGGTGAATACACAATAGAACTCAATAAATGACAGTCTTCAACATGCCTGTGACCTAAATGAGCAAACCCCACTGCTTCGCCATGTCAGAGAAATACTGCCAGAACTACTTGAAGTAAAAGCTGCTGAGTATGAACACAGTGATTGGAAGGAAGAACAATGTGATTATCTTTTCATACCAAGCGCTCTCCCAGGTACTTTTGATTCCAAAGTATGACAATGTCCTTCCTTTTACAAATGTTGAAGTGGATATTTGTAGAGTAGTCCCCTGACCTTCCAAGGTTTTTAATGCTAAGTTTTAAAGTATAAAAAAAGTATCTGGCATAACACGTTTTTGATAAAGTTGTGCTGGAGTTTAGCAATCACATAATTTTTTTCCAAATGGTTATAGAATTGCTGCTTGATTATCTCTTCTATATCTTTTTCTAATCTTGATGTCAAACTGACTAGCTGGTAGTTGCTCAAATCCACTTCCCACGCTTTTGGGGTGCATCTGCATTGTATAATTAATGCAATCGACTCGACTTAAACTGTCATGGATGAATGCTATGGAATCCTGAAATGTGTCGTTTGGTGAGGCATTAGTACTCTTTGGCAGAGAAGGCTTAATACCTTGTAAAACTCCCACACGTAGATGCATCCTTTCAAGAAGCTAGGCAAAACTACGGTTAGCTGGATCTATAATTGGTTAAGCGAACGAACCCAAAGGGTGCTCACCAATGCTTCCTCTTCATTCTGGAAAGAAGTTATGAGTGGGTGCAGCAGGGCTCCATCCTGGGCCCAGTTCTGTTCAACATCTTTATTAATGACTTAGATGAATGGCTAGAAGGCATGATCATCAAGTTTGCAGATGACATCAAATTGGGAGGGATAGCTAATACTCCAGAATATGGGAGCAGAATTCAAAATAACATTGACAGATTGCAGTGGTTCTCAACCTGCGGGTCTCCAGGTGTTTTGGCCTACAACTCCCAGAAATCCCAGCCAGTTTACCAGTTGTTAGGATTTCTGGGAGTTGAAGGTCAAAACATCTGGGGACCCACAGGTTGAGAACCACTGGATTAGAGAAATGGGCCAAAACTAACAAAATGAAGTTCAACAGAGACAAATGCAAGATACTCCACTCAGGCAGAAAAAATGAAATGCAAAGATACAGAATGGGGGACATGTGGCTCAACAACAGTATGTGTGAAAAAGATATTAAAAAAGTTAAACATGAGCCAACAATGTGATGCGGCAGCAAAAAAAAAGCCAGTGGGATTTAGGCCTGCATAAATAGGAGTATAGTATCTAGATCCAGGGAAGTTATGCTACCCTCTATTCTGCCTTGTTTAGACCACACCTGGAATACTGTGTCCAATTCTGGGCACCACAATTGAAGGGAGATGTTGACAAGCTAGAATGTGTTCAGAGGAGGGGGACTAAAATGAACAAGAGTCTGGAGAACAAGCCCTATGATGAGTGTCTTAAAGAGCTGAGTATGTTTAGCCTGAAGAAGAGAAGGCTGAGAAAAGACATGATGGCCATGTATAAATATGTGAAGGGAAGTCATAGGGAGGAGGGAGCAAGTTTATTTTCTGCTGCCCTGGAGACTAGGACACGGAACAATGGCTTCAAACTATAAGAAAGGAGATTTCATCTGAACATTAGGAAGAACTGTGAGAGCTGTTCAGCAGTGGCACTCTCTGCCCCAGAGTTTGGTGGAGGCTCCTTCTTTGGAGGCTTTTAAGCAGAGGTTGCATGGCCATCTGTCAGGGATGCTTTGAATGCAATTTTCTTGCTTCTTGGCAGGGGGTTGGACTGGATGGCCCACAGGTCTCTTCCAACTCTATGATTGTATGATAGTTATATTTATATTTTTAATGTACCAAACATACCAAGTTTGTATGAAAATGTGACTCTATTTCCTATGCTGGTGAATGACTGAAATAAATGATTTGATTTGATTTGATTCTATGATGGAAACAACATTGATCCTCCTCCTGTTTCCTGGGACCTCTCTGGTTTGCCAACCATTCTCAAAGATCAATTAAAATTAGTACTTTCAGAAAAGTTTACAGAGGTTTGAAACTTCATTGAAATTCCATATTGGTATGAATTGTTCTGGAGCACTAGTGGGAGGATTAGATAAAAGAGCAAAAATTAGAAAAAAAAACCCCTACTCAATTGAAAGTTGATTCTATTTGGGATGAATGTAACAGACTGGGAGGATTTGCTGTCATGCCATGTATTCTGGTCTCTTATTGGTTGTTTCCTAGGTCAGATATCAATGTTTGTGGGATAAAAGAAGGGAGAATGCATAAGGAAGGATTTATGATCTCTTTCTCTTTCTCTCCCTCCCTCCCACTCTGTGTGTGAATGTAATGCTAAAATCATACCAATGTTCTCAGTTATACACAGCTCTAAATTGCCAAATAATATGTTGCCACGGATTTTAGAAGATGAAGGATTTTACATTCCAAGAAAACCTTACATTCCTAGGAATACATATTACAAAATGGAAAACCGTCTTCTTCAGCAAGAAGGGGTATATGTATAGTTTTGCTTATGTTTACAAATTTCTGAACAATATGATTAAAAGGTAATTATCAGCTCTTGGGTGTATTGTTTATGCATCTGAATCATCTTTGTCAAGGGGACAAACTGGTTTGAAGAAAGTGGAGAAATAATATCATTACCTTCACCTGTGAAACAAGCTCATCACTGCAGAGTATCTTTCCCTGTTGAGACTGATACACAGTTAAGGACAACATATAGGAAGGTTTGTTTGTTTGTTTCTTCTTGTTACTTTTTAGTTGTACCATAAAGGAACTGGATACATTTCAGTAGTAGTTCGTATTATTTGGTTATTTTCAGCTGATATATTTTAATGTATTCTGTATAATATGCATTGTCTTAGAAATTAGACTGAAGAAATTTAATGGAATCAAACAACATGAACATTTTCGGACAGGATACAGTAGCAGCTGTCAAAATTTAGTTATTTATTTATGCCATCTTTATATATTACGGTTTTTTCCAGCACCAATGGGAGTTATCCCTTGCTGCACAGTCGCATCTTTTTGAGACCCCCGATCAGTTATCTTTTGGATCTCTGTTACTGAAAGACAAAATTTTAGGATAGAGATACTCTGTATTTCAATAAAGTTACTTTGTAACTGCTAATGGAGACCAAAACATTATTGCTAAAACTAACTTAAAGCGAAGTGTGATTATTTGTGGTTTAATGTTTGGTTTTATGCTGCTGTGTCGTTTACATATATTGGTTTTGCATTTTATGTAATTTATTTTCTGATTTTTGTTGTGTCTTTTTATGTTTATATTGTGTGCTACTGTATTGATGGGTGTGGCCTTATGTAAGCCACCCTAAGTCCCCTTGGGGGAGATGGAGGCGGTGTATAAATAAAGTGTTATTAGTATTATTATTATTATTAGTGCTCAAACATGCCATTGCTCGAATACCGCAATTTTTCTTCTTTTTGTACAGTTTTTTGGGATCTTAGCTTGACGAAGATGACAGGGAGCTTAGAAAAGTAGTGTTATGTATTTTGTGCCTTTTGATTGGTCTAATAAAGGTATCACCATGAGGAGAAATTTGTTGGTTTTTTTGCCATATAGTCAATATAGAATATCTATGAATGTATATATTTCATGATTTAGAAGTTCCTCCTAATATGTCTCGATCATCTTCAACACTGATATCTGCTACACTGAATTGGGTTATAAGAGTCTATACTGCCATGTAATCCAGTTCAATGCAGTTAACCTGCATTCTAAAACGGAATTATATGGCAGTGTATATCCAGCCATAGTAATCATCTGCAAAAGTTTTGTTTTTCATGTCAGGAGCGACTTGAGAAACTGCAAGTGACTTCTGTTGTGAGAGAATTGGCAGTCTGCAAGGACGTTGCCCAGGGATCGCCCAGATATTTTACCATCCTGTGGGAGGCTTCTCTCATGCCTCACATGAGAAGCTGGAACTGACAGATGGGAGCTCACCCCGCTCCATGCATTCAAACTGCTGACCTTTCGGTTAACAGTCCTGGTGGCACAAGGGTTTAACTCATTGTGCCACCGGGGGCTCCTGTTGCAAAATAATTGGAACCAATAAACTTATCATGTGTTTCAAATATGAATAAATTTTATTACGTATTACAGTCACAGACCAGGAATGTAAAGCTTTAAAACATTACAAACAATTTTTTTTTAAGAAAAAGCATTAAGACCAGAGAATTGTAACATTAAAAGCAGAAAATCCATTCAGTGGATTTCATATAAGATAATTTAATAAAACCAACAATGAATTATACACAGCTAATATGCATAAAAGAATAAACTATTTGGTCTTATAATACTGAAAGTAAACAAAATCATTGAGGTAAAAGACAGAAAAGATAAAGCATAGATAGCTGACCGAAGGAGAAAGTGATTTATCAATGGAAAAGCAAAGATGTAAGTTGTTTTCTGTTGTTGAAAACATCCGATGAGTCAGATAATAATTCATCAGGAAATAGTCATGAAAAGGAGTTAAAGGAAGAAATGATCACGTGTAACAAGGAATAAAACAGCAAGGGGTCTAGTCAGATTTAGCAGAAATTCTGACGCAGTTTAAAACAGAGTTTGTGACTAATTTGTTTCATTACTGTCAAAGATGATAAACGTAGATCCACGTAGAATAGCATGTTCTAATTCAAACCACATTGAGCTTTGAAAATATATCAGTTCAAGATTTTGAAAAAAAAATTATTTCAAAGGAACATTTGCTGGTTTTCTTTTAAATGCAGGCAATGCGTCCTGAACTAGAAAAGCGTATTATAACTATGACAGGAGAAGAAAGCAAGATTTACCAATTAGATCTTAACATTTCCAGCATTGTATTCAATCACCATTCTCTCTTCAATTGTGAACAAGTATTAGCGTCTAAACTGCTTAATATTTACGAGTGCTTTCAAAAAAGATGCCAGCAAAATGTTACTCACTTGCTATCTGAAAAGGTAAGAAAATGTTTTTTGTTAAGTTCTAGTTCTAGTTACACAGCTGAAAGATTTTGATTGCTTGAAACAAAAGGAGACAAACAGAAGAGTTTCCAATAATTGTCTGGATGTCTCCTGATATACTAGACTACTGCATTAACCTTCTTGCCCTAGCTTTAGTTTTCTGAATGCTCCAATGAGGCTCATGATGTTGGGAGAATATATACTCTGTGTTTCAGATACAGCAATAACTGTTTTAATGCCTTTTTTTTGACAACGTAAGTAAGCCTTTACAGGCAAGAAAGACTTTGCAGTTGAGAAAGCTTCTGACAAATATGATGGCAATTTGCAGCTATGTATTTGAAGCTGACAGTCTTGCTTTGTCACCGTTTCTGGGCTCTCCTTAACAACAACTGAGTTTATAGCACAATTGTACTGAAATAGATAGGCTTGACCCAACTGTTGTTTAATAATCTCAAAAGATGTTATAGCATCTTCTGAAACATTACATACTTTCTCAACAAGGAACTGGTGTTTCCTCCAGCAGATTATGTACGTTTGTACATAATTTCAAGCTGCCTGTCAATTTACAGTGACCTCATAAATTTCATAGTGTTTTCTTAGGCGGATACTATACAGATGCTATAAATCTGAGCACACCTTGTTTATTCTGAGAAGGTGTTATTCTCCAAATGACCCAAACTGTATTCTTACCAAGATGAAATTCCTCAGCAGTCTGCCCTATGTATTTTACTGAGTCAACTTTGAACTGAATCTTTTCTACATTACATTTGGTATTCATAGAATGCGTTGTTTCCGTCATTTGATGTAAAATGTGACCATACTGCTCAAGTGTTCCTGCTGCTATTCACAGCCCAAACTTTAAAAAAATGATGTCTTGGCTTTTATACCTGTTTCTGGGGTTATTTGAGGCAGTGATTTAGAAAATTGCTTTGCATAGACTGCATCAGAGCTAGTTTCTTAGGTATGGTTATTATGATTTTCTATGGGCGAGCAGATGAAGGCTAGTATATGCCATATGTTCTATATCTCGTAGGGAGAACTGGTACCATTTTTGGAATTAGCAGGTGAGCTATATCTAGAAATAAGTCTAACATTTGAGGCATCAAAATGTGTGTTGGCCGGGGTTATGTCATCAATTGTCATATGTTCACCATTTAGGTGCCCAAAAAATTCTTCCTTTTTCTGTTGTTCACTTGGAGGTGGAAGGCAAAATGGAAAATAATGAATGCAATAGTTTCCCTAGGGCATATTAAATGTGCATAGTTTTCAAGGATTTTTTAAAAAATTCATCTGGCAATAATGATCTTTCTTATCAAAAATTATTTATTTATTTACTTTACTTCTATACCGCTGTTCTCAGCCTGGAGGCGACTCACGGCGGTTCACAAGACACAGGACACAGCAAAATTCGACACCAATATAAACAGTTAATAACCTAATCTAATACACAATTAATACACAATTACTATAGTAACCATTCACTAAGGTCTCATTACTAAAAACATGATCCAGATTCGTCATCCATTGTTCCATTCCTATGTCATTACCAGTCATTGCACAATTATTCGAACGCCTGCTGAAATAACCAGGTCTTTACTTTCTTGCAGAATGCCATTAGAGATGGTGCTAACCTAATATCTGTGGGAAGGGCGTTCCACAGCCGGGGAGCCACCACCGAGAAGGCCCTATCTCTCATCCCCGCCAGCCGTGCTTGTGACGCTGGCGGGATCAAGAGCAGGGCCTCCCCGGAAGATCTCAAAATAGCTCAAAATACCTTTTATTATCAGAATAGTAAAATATTGTCTCCAGAACACTTTGCTAAGAACTTATGGGTTAAAATATATACACAAATGCCCATTCTTTTTTCTGTTATTGATACAGAGGGTCGACTATATGAAAAAAATCGCTTCACTAAATATGAGTACAAGCAGTCCCCAAGTTATGAAAAGGTTCAGTAGGTTTGTTCCTAAGTTGAATTTGTATGTAAGTTGGAACAGGTGCATTTTTAAAGTGTAACTCCATATATATATAGCTGTGAATAGCATAGGGATGGCTTAACACACCTGTGGTGTTTGTTTTGTTGTCTGTGCCCCAGTTCAGAAGATTTCACTTCATTTTCTGTCCCTGTGACAATTGCATTTTGAAAATTTAGGTTGCTCTGGAAACAAGGATTGACAATATAGCTTCCCCATGATAGCTCTTTCAGGAGTGAATTTCCCTTCTGAGGGGTAGATTTCACTCCCTGTTGTCTCACCCCTGTTCTTAACTATGAGTTGTAAGTTGTAAGTTAGATGTTTATAACTTGGGGACTGCCTGTACTGGATTAATATAGAAAATAATGAATTTTGCATGTAGTATGTAGTGTGTGTTTTTAGATGAATTCTGTTTTAATTGTATTATTTATTAACTTTAAATTATCAAAATACCAGTTACTAAATTTGCTAATAAAAGCTTAATGCAGTTTAAATACATTATTTCTGTTCCAGCTCAAAGCATTAACAAGTGCCACAAAGCTGAAGGAAAGTGATTTAAAAATAAACCAGCTGAGTACAAACACATTAAAGGATTTCAGATCACAAATAAGGTACTTGTTTAGTGAAGTGAAATTGATATCTGATATAGATGTTTTGTTTTGGGTTTACTTGTTTGGGTTAGACTTCTATTAATTTCAAGGTTAATGTTCCTCTGCAGCAGCCTGCTCACTTTGCAAAAGGATATGCTGAGCTGTCATGGCATGCTCAAAATATGTCATGGTATGTTCACACAAGTCACCTCCAGATGGATAAAAATAGTCTCTGGAAGTTCCTAGTTTTGTTCCTGTGTTTTCTGATTTTGTTTTGAAAAGCCATATGTTGTTCTCTTCACCTTGAAGTACAGTAGAGTCTCGTTTATCCAACTTTCGCTCATCCAACATTCTGTATTATCCAACGCAGTCTGCCTCCCACCTGGATCCACAGATGTTTCAATACATTGCAATGTTTTGGTGCTAAATTTGTAAATAAAGTAATTACTACATAACGTTACCGTGTATTGAACTGTATTTTCTGTCGATTTCTTATAAAACTTGATGTTTCTGTGCTTAATTTGTAAAATCATAATGTAATTTGATGTTTAATAAGCTTTTCCTTAATCCTTCCGTATTATTCAAAAATTTCGCTTATCCAACGTTCTTCCGGCCCATTTATCTATATAAATAAAAATGTAATGTTCGTTTGTGGGATTAACAGAACTCAAAAACCACTGGACGAATTGACACCAAATTTGGACACAAGACACCTAACAACCCAATGTACGTCCTTCACTAAAAAATTTGATTTTGTCATTTGGGAGTTGTAGTTACTGGGATTTATAGTTCACCTACAATCAAAGAGCGTTCTGAACCCCACCAATGATGGAATTGAACCAAACTTGGCACACAGTTCTCCCATGACAAACAGAAAATACTTGAAGGGTTTGGTGGGAGTTGTAGTTCACCTACATCCAGAGATCACTGTGGACTCAAACAATGATTGATCTGGACTAAACTTTACATGAATACTCAATATGCCCAAATGTGAACACTGGTGGAGTTTGGGGAAAATAGAATTTTGACATTTGGGAGTTGTAGTTGCTGGGATTTATAGTTCACCAACAATCACAGAGCATTCTGAACCCCACCAATGATAAAAATGGGCCAAACCTCCCACACAGAACCCCCATGTGGGCCACAGCAACACGTGGCAGGAGACAGTGTTGGATAAGCGAGATTCTACTGTATTATTTCCTGTGAGCTCCTGGCATTATCATAAATTTTTGCTCCCACTCCACAAATTGGCTTAGTTTCCAAAGTGAAATAGATTGGTTAATGCAACATCTAAAATCCACAAAAGAGTGATACTATCTTTGAGCTAACCAAAAATGCACAAAACAAATAATGCAAGCTTTCAACCCTCCACTGCTTTATCCTTCAGTCAAAAGTGTTAACAGTTACAAAGGAGAAGTAGAAGCATCCAAAGTGATTTGCCATTGTCTGCTTCCCCCCCCCCCCTTCCTCTTTCTCTGGTGCTGTGGAGTGATGAATGGTTGGGGAAGAAAGAGGCAATGGAAAATCATTTTCTCGAAACTGATTTATGGCCTTCCCCGTCTCTCTTATTTTTATGCTGGGAAATGGCAGTGGGGTGTCAAGAGAGGTTCCTCACTCTTCTTTTCGGATTGGGTCTGCCTTTTCGGCTTGGATCTGTTACTATGACTACTGCATTCCCACTCAGACAACTTCCTACCAGAGTGCCACTGGATAAGTTGCTTTCTCAGAATGAGGTGCCCAGTTATTATATAGGTTTAATTGGTCTGCTTCCTCACCTTTGCCTCTGATGTCCAAGCAAACAACTTGCCCAGTGGAGCTCTGCTGGGAAAAATATTTAGCTGGGAAGGCAGCAACAGGCAAATTGCTTGGGAGGAGAAGGAGAAATTAAAACAATATTGATTCAAATTTGGGGTGTGGACAGCAATATCATGTCAATACGGTATTTTACAGGTAGATATGGCCCTAACAGAGTGAATTTGTGGCAACTCTGCTGTTAATTAATCTGATTGCCAGCTAGATTATTTTGGCAGTGTAGACAAATCCTGAGTGTAATTTGCCCAAGGTCATCCATGGTGTCCGTGACTGAGTGGGAATTCATTAATTGTTTTTATTTGAAAATACTTTTTAAAATCCCATGTGTATTATAAATTTTAAAAGCCTCCGTGGAAAACTCAGAAAAAATAGCTCACAACGGTATAACTTGTCATATCACATTCTTTTCTTGACGTTTTTTATTATCTTTGCTATTTTGCACTTTTAAAAGACATACTAAAAGATTATATGATAAAGAACGCCAAAGAGATAGTTCTTTAATACAAAGCATGTTGAAGATATGGAAACAGATAAAATCTGTGCGTATACGACAAGGATTTGTCAGTACTACAGTAAAACTGCAGTTTCAAAGGTAGGTGCATAAAACATTCATAATGCTTGGTAATTTCCTTTTTGTTTTATATTGAAACTGTTATTCAGTGGCATACATTATATACACACATATAAAAAGAAAATGTGCTATATAAATTCTAAAAATGAATTGAAAATATACTAGAAGTTACATTGGCAGGTGACATGAAGTACAGGACCCTATAGGACAGGGATCCCAGTCCCATGACTTCTCTTACTACTCTTTAACTAAAAACTAACACTTTCATCATAAGTGAGGTCACACTATTTATCCCCAGTGATTCTTGCCACACAGTTGATAAATCAGCCTTCACAGCTTCTGGTTCTAGAGGTAAATATATTCAGACTGGGGTGCTACAAAGAAATGTTTTCATACTCCATTTCTATCCTGTTTATATGTTTATATGTCACCTGGTCACGCCAAGCATTATTTTTAAAATTTTAATTAGTACATTGGCCCTGCCATAGGTTTTTAAACATTGCTGTGTTATTGTTAATGTTTATTGCTATTTTCTGTTTATGAGTTTATTTATTGTTTGTATTACTATTGCTATTGTTTTTGTGGTTATTATTATTATTATTATTATTATTATTATTTGTATTACCAAGTCCTCCTCCCAAAATTACAGCCATCATAAACCTTTATAGGATCTGAGAGTTTCACCTAAAGTTTCCAGATGCTTAAAGTAGTACATTTAAATTTTTTTCTTCCGCACTCTGCCTATCTGCCAATTCCCTAGTTTGGCTTTAAGGCTGACTTGCCTCTGCCAATGGTTTTTCTCAGGGGCCTCTCTTATTTGTTTCCTTCAGATCTAGAATCATAAAGTTGGAAGAGACTTCAAAGTTTATCCAACAGTCAGCTATTCTATAATTTTTTTGCCAGATGCTTCCCAGTCCTCTAAGAGGATTGAAATTTCATTTTAACATTCTGGTAGGTCTCTGCTACAGGCAGGATCAAGGTCTGGAAAAATTCCATGTGCCCTTCCTTTGTCTGTCACCCTGGGCCTTCCTTTGTGTTCCTTGGGGGTTGAGATCTGGGGATAGGGGTATCTGTTGTCTCCTTGCGATTCCCAGAACCTCAAGAAAGCTCAAACACTGTCTCTTCACTCCTTGCTGTTGTGATGAAGTCCTATCAATTTTAGGACTTCATCACACGGGCTTTCTTACCTATCCTAGGACACTTCAAGCGCAATTCCTGGATGGAGCCTGTTAGATTCTATTAGATGACACACAGCTATTGATCCAAACAAAGTTTCAGCATCCTATGATAGAGCCTTGAGAACATGGGAGGCTTCCCGTGTTGTCATTCAATTGAATGGGGGAAGTTGGGCGGCAACACTTCCCCGAATGGGATGGGGAAGGAGGTGATGCATCTGATTGCTGATGGTGGGGATGCAAAATGTGGCCAAGTAGTTACCGGGCTGGAATAGGGATAGCTACCTGGGAAAGCTTTGCTTTTTGGGAAAGGTGTGGGGACTTAAACCCCCTTCAGAGCGGGTTTCTTATCCTTTCTCTGAAGTGAGTTTAAGCCCTGTGTGGAAGCACCTGTAGATATCTGTAGAGGTTTCATTGCTTCCTTTTTCCTTCCAACAAGGCTGGCAAATAGCTCTGAACTGGATGACTCTGAAGCTAGAATATCTGAAGATGATGAAAAAGTGGTAAGGAAACATTAGAAGAAATTGACACTGATTACCAAGCAAAGTTTCAGAATCTGAAAGAAAAAAAAGCTTTCAGACTGTAAGAGTTTTAAAATAATAAATACTTGTGCTGCAGTAAAACACATTAGACAAGTACCTTTATCATTTTTCTTTATGGATATTAGTGTCTGGTTGATTTATTAAAGAAATATAGATGATCTAAATCTTGTCTCTTTGGTATTATCTCTAAAATGTCTGATATTACATGCTATTATAAATTAATAAAAAGAGAAATAAATACAATTTTAGACATTGTTATTTGTTTGAAATAATCTTGGATGCAGTAAAAGTTTTGATTTCTAGGGTTACTTGGAGTCACCTCATGTACTTCAAACTGCAACAGATTTTGGAGATCAGAATGAATCTCTTTTCATGCCACACCTCTCATTTGTGACAGAGATAACAGCAACAAACATGTGTCCCAAGTGAGTTTCAGGGTGTTTTCAGCTTTGCAAAACACCTGCTTTTATATTGTATTTCCCAATATAAAACATTGTATATAGTGAGAAGGATATGTAGTTTTCAACATACTTACTAAGTTACATAGTTTTGTTTGTTGATTAACCATGGAATGTATCAGAAATATTTAATGCAGTACATTTTAAACATTTTTACTGTTCAATGTGTAAACATGCCTCATTTTTCTGCACCAGTTATTTCAGGTTTAATATATGGTTCCATACTTAAAGCTAATGAAATATTTCCTTTGATCTATTTTGTCTGTATTCCTAGAGATGAACAAAAGAGAAGAGAAAAAATCAAGCTGGAGAAATACTTTATTAAAGTATATTACAATAATAAATTGGTTTCTTCTACTCCAGAAACTCCTCTGTGCCAGGATTTTAAAGTAATATTTCAACAAAGGTTTAGAATTCAAGTATTAAACTGGCCTGAATCTCTTTGTTTAGAGGTAATGTTATTTCAATAATATTATATTTGAATTTAAACTTCATATCTTTAGAAAAATATGTATTAATATTGTTTGTAATTTTTATGAACCACTTTTAACTTATGATAGTTTGTATACTTTGAAGGCAATATGTGGGCCAGAAGTATTGTATGTAACCCTTAATATATAAAAGGGTAATGCACATTTTTATGTCATGCATATTTGTCCTAAGCATACACAGAAATCTTGCTTGTTTGTACAAGCATTTACAAATAAGTAATTTTTTTTATTTTGGGAATATAATACCATGATACCATACTGTGTCTACACTGATTCTGGAATACATAAATGTTATGAAGATATTTCTACAGGTAGATTAGTAGCCCCTTTCATGCAGTTTTGTGCTGTATTACTAAATACTGATTTCCAGAAGAGCATTCTCTGAATCATCAGGAACACCAGTTTGTGGATTTCATGAGGAGGCTGAGTGGCATCAACAAACTCCTTCCCTCCATCCTTTCTAGAAGCCCACATGATTTCGTGGGCTTTGAGAAAGATTTGTACGTCCAAGCAACCAGGCAGAGCCTAATTTCTTGGAAAATGGGCTTAGAAGTTAGCTGAGGGCCTTTCTACATAGCACATAAAATGCAGAAGTCGCTGGGTGAAAAAGGAGGTGTATAAACATTGTTTAGCCAAGGTGCAGGAAGAATCTGAGGAACTGGGTTAAGGGCTGGAAAACACATGTTTAAAAGGTGCCCTTTAAACCCAATTCTTCCTGGAAAATATGCACCTTTCCATGCCTGTGTATTCCAGCAGTCATGGAAAGCATGTGCTTTCCTTCCCTTACCTCCCCCCTCCCTGGACTCGCTACACACCAAAAGAAACACTACAGAGTGGTAGCATTTAATTTATTTGAAAATAGGGGAATCCATTAATAAATTAAATAGGAAAACCCTTATTAATTGGTGGCAGCATAGCCTACTACCTCACAGATGGTGGCAGCATACTAGGTTGAATAGAATATCAGACAATGAAGAGGAAGCCTTTACACCATCATATCCAATTGACCGTATGTCTGAACTGAGACATGGGCTATAGGGCCAAGCTTCTGTATCTGTAACCAATAAAACTGTGACTTTTCTCATCCCAACAAAATAAGTACATTTTTAAAATATTAACTTTGATAGTTTTTTTTAATATAATACAGTACTGTAGTTTCTTTACAAATTCTTTTCATACTTTAGGTAAGGAGTTTGAAGCATCTTACTATGGCAGAGCTTGACCTAATTTTTAAAGCAGTGCATTTTTATGTTTTAGATATTTAAATCAAGTAAAAAACCATCTTTGTTGGCCAGAGTATACTTGGCTGTTCCCAGTGCCTTTATATTAAAAAGCAAGGATATTTTGGATGAGGTAGAATTTAGCTGCGATCAGCAAGTTTACCCTTTGGATGGGGCAGTGGGAAGCAGTAAGTTAATCATGAATTTTAACTAAATAGAGAAAATTGTGATTGCTGTTGTATAGATCATTTAAGGAAATATGTTACAAACCACTATAGAAGCTGATGAACACTGGAAATTGGATTGACAAAGTTTAAAATATAAATACCACTTGACTGCAGGTTTGTCAAATACTTAGAACAGCAGGCTTTCAGCTTCAAGTTAAATGGACAAACATTCTGAGCTCATTTCAAGAGCAACATCTATCAACACACACACAAACTCTGATAGTTATCTGACTTGGGAAATAGCTAAAGGGATCCTGACCATTGTCTCCTTTCCCAAGACCATTGGGATCAAATACCTCATGTAGGTATTTGATCTTCAGAGGCATTGGAGAGGAAGGAAAAGGTCTACCATAAACTAATTTAAAAAGGTTAACTTGCAACCCCCCACCCCTCCTCTTTGGTATTGCTCCAATCCAAGTGATGGCCAATGGAAGGGCATCAGGTCACTTAAGGTTAGCCTGCTGGCAGATCTTAACAATCTGGCACTTCAGGGTCTGGTTCATCCTCTCTACCTTGCCACTGGATTGAGGGTGCCAACTGGAATGACATCTCTATCGGATTTGCAGACCCTTGTCAACTTTCTTGGGGGCAACAAACCCTGGCCCATTGTTCAGGCAGACCGAAGCAGGGATATTTGAGAATGTTCCTGTAGTGCTGATTACTTTTAATATGGTTTCTTTCTGTCTGTGTGAACTTAGAAAGTACAAAGAGAGAAAGTGGTGTCAGTACCCCTTAGAACCATTGTGAAAAAATATTCCACTAATGAACAAGCAAAACACCATTTTAAAATGTATTTAGCATATAATATTATGATTAAAAATGTTCTTTCTATTATGTTTATGTTACAGATGTGCCCTTTCTTCTTGAAAATGAAACTGAAGAACTATGTATTCTCACATCAGGAAAAGTAATATATTCCTTGTTTTGGACTGTTGATGACAAAGGAGTTCCTTTAGCACCCACCTTTCAACCTGCATCTGTTGGCTCTACTAGGTAGTAAAATTTATACATTAGATGTCAATCCTATATGTCTATCCAGTATACAACATTAATTGTTTGCTGAATACAATGTTAAATTTAATTTTGAAAATATTAGCATTTTTATTTATTATTTATTCTCCCAAATTCCTGGGTAATGTCATAATGTCATAACCAATATTCTCTGTCCAAAATTTCATTTCTTTTAGTGGAGGCAACTTTCCATCCTTCTTTTTAAAACCTCTTTCAATAAATTTTCTCCAGACGTCATCAAAACGCTTTCCACCCATATTTCTCTTTTGACCTTTAACTTACATGTCACCTTATCATTTATTGCCAATTTCCATAGTACCATTTTTCAATTTGTAGATTTATTTCCCTTTTCCAATTCCTTCCTATAAGCAGCCTTGCTACTGTTAGTAGATTAGATATTGCATTTTTCTTCTTCTTTATTCAACTGTTAGTTATTATATAATGATAACAAGGCACTACTAGGACTTCTTTCTATTTTTATATTCATAATATTCTCTATCTCTGAACTAGTTTCTAAATGTTGTACTGTAGTTTCAACTTTGTGTATGAAACATTTTTATTTTAGAGATGCTCGTGACAATTTCTTGATCCCAAAGGGAAGCTTTCATTAGCCAAGGTTTTTCATTCCCACTCCCCATTTTTCTTAACCCATTTTTTTTCCAAAATGAAATGTTTCTACTTGGCTATTCATTTGTAGTGTTCTAGAATTAGCTAAAATGACTGCCACCAGTAAACTTTTGTTGTCATGACACAGATTCAATAGAGATCAAGCTAGGAAAAGAATGTTTGAACTTTTAAAAAATGATTTTAATGTTTAATAAGTGCATTGTTGCCAAAATACTGTAGTACTTTATCTTTTACTTCTGAATAATAATAAAGAAGGCTTGGTAGAAATGGGTGAAAATACATTTCTGAAATGTTGCAGAAGCCCTGGGAGGAGAAAAAAATCCAAGGGAAAGGGGAATAGAAGAAACTTGGAGTATTTCGATAAAGGCTTTTAATGCAGCTCATAGTTAAAATGAAAAGTACAAAGGGATAAAGGTGGTATCAATACACCTTAAAACCAACTGTAATACTTTTTTTTGTTCTTCAGCGTGTCAAGTAATGTCAGGTCCGGCAGAGGAAATGAAACTTGGTGGCATTCTGATATACAGAAATGTATTGAGTGGGCAAAAGCGGCCAATATTGATCCAAATGACCCTAATTACACAGATTTGTTTGAATTAATCACGGTAATGAAAACATTTTAATATATAACAGTTATTTAGGGGGAAATTGTAACAGAAATTAAGGAGATACATGTTGATGTTAAGGGTTAGATTTAAATCTGAATAAGAAGCCAGGCCATGACCCTAATCCCAAGGCCATAACATATTGACCAAAAATGTCTTGACTAGAGCATGCTGATTAGAGAGCTTCCCCCCATCTTAATTGTTTATGATACTGCCTATTTCTGACCTTTTCCTGATTTTTCTTCTCCTTTTTCCCTTACCTTTTGCCTCAATTAGTCTACCTTTGATTTCTTCAGTAAGTTGGATGGATTGAGTAATAATATTTATATATGGCAAAAATGACTCGAGTGACTCAAGCAAGTAGGGAGACTTATATCTTATATTTCTTCTGTCATAATATAAGAAATGGAGGCTTTCCAAAGAAATTAGCTGATAGTAGGTTAAAGACTGATGAAAAAAATGTATACAATGTGTGATTAATTTATGAAGTTCATTGAAGTATATGGCAGCCGACATTCACAGACTTAGAAGTCTTTAGAAGAAATTTATATTTTCGTAGAGGGTAGATGTAGATGAAAAACAGCTCTTAGTAGCTATGATAGTTTTACAGAATCTCAAAGTTAAGAAGAAATATACAGTATATTCTGGCGTATAAGACTACTTTTTAACCCAAGAAAATCTTCTCAAAAGCCAGGAGTCGTCTTATACATGGGAGTCATCTTATACACTGGAGTAGCCTTATGCATGGGAGTCGTCTTATATGTGGGAGTAGTCTTATACGCCAGGAGTCATCTTATAGAGCGGGTGCTGAAACTTCCTATCTGGATTGGAGAATCTGTGGTTGCTGCATATTGTGGGGGGAGCTAAAAAATGGCAGTGGCCGCGTCCCTGCCATATGCAGCGACTGTATGAAAGCATTAAGGGCGACACTGTACAAGTATGGTAGAAGAAAATCCATTCATCAGGATTCATGGACTTAATACAGTCCCGATGGTGAGGTGAAGGGGCGCCTCACCGGAAAGGTGTAAGTGAAGGGCGGAGCAAGCTGCAGGCATCCGGGGCGCCCGGGGTATGGAAAAAAGAGATAGAGTGGCTCTGGGCCCAGAAAAACAACTCTTTTACCTGTCTGGTCCTCCCTTTTATTCTATTACCATACCTCCTCCTCTGTCTCTCAGAACTCGCTCCTGAAGACTGCAGTGAAGTGGTGCAAGTGTGCATGTGCGAGATCTGAGAGGCAGAGAAGGAAGTACAGTAATAGGAAAATTACCATTTTGAAATCAAATCTGATGCTTTTAAAAAATTTATTTGGTGTGTTGGAAGAGGGGCAGTCTTATACGCCAAGTATATCCCAAACTCTATATTTTAATTGGGAAAGTTGTGGGTTGTCTTATACGCCCGGTTGTCTTATATACCGGAATATACGGTACTTCTAAATACCAGACACATAAGGGGAAAGACAATAGCCTTAGTGTCTTGTTTGTGAATGTCCCTATGGCATATGATGGGCTACTATTGGAAATATGCTAAGATTGCTGGACTACTCAAACATATAATCTATCAATTTTGTTAGTTTCATATGTTGTACTATAACAAGGCAAAAGTACCAGCTAAAAAAAACTTCATTTTAGTATAAATCCCATCATTTTAATTGAGAGAATGGAAAAATATCTTTGGTGTCTACCTCTGAGATATGAAGAGGAGGAAGGGCTTCAGTCCCAAATGGCTCTGCCAGCCCAGACCAAGATGAGTTCTGGGTTTCTTCACACTCCCTCATCATCTCACAGGAATTAGATGATGTTTTCGATTCAGTGAAATATGATATATGTCAGTGGTAACGTATAGGAGATGGGGTTTTTATTTGCCTAATGTAAGAAGTTCATTATATTTTTATTCACAGGACACTAGTACAAAACTGAGTGCAAAATAGCTAAAGGCACAAATCTTTGTCACATCATAATCTTTCTGGAAAGGCTTAGAGTTAGGGTTAGACTGCATGGAGTGCCGTTACCTTCCCGCCGGAGTGGCACCTATTGATCTACTCACATTTGCATGTTTTCAAACTGCTAGGTTGGCAGAAGTTGGAGCTAACAGCGGGAGCTCACACCGCTCTCCAGATTCAAACCTATGACCTTTCAGTCAGCAAGTTCAGCAGCTCAGCGCTTTAACCCACTGCACCACCGGGGCCTCCTGTGCTGCTATATGTTAAATTTGTACCAAGTGTTTGGTGTATGTTTTATTTATTTATTTATTTAATAATTGTGTGTTTTTTACCTATGTATTTTCTTGTACATGTTTTATTTTCATATGTTTTGATTTCGTTGTTCCCCTCCTCAAGCTGTCAGGAAAGGTGGGTAATAAATAAATAAATAATAAAAATTATTATGCTTTCTCATCTTTAACAGGCAAGTAGATAGATATAACATTGGAAACAGCATTCAGATTAATAAAACCGTAGGGTTTAAAAGCACAACAACATTTATTTGCTGTAGTTAATCAGCTAAATGTTCTAATTTATATTTTTCATTCTTTAACAGTATGCAAAATCCCGGGAACAAAGTAATTCCAAATACTTTCGTCTTGAACAGCTGCAGGAAGAATTTAACTTTGTCACTGCAGAAGACATTGAAAATTGTAAACGTTTTCAGCTGTTGCAGCTGAGAAGCTTAGGACAGTTAGACTTCTACCGTTTTCAGCAAATTCCTCTCTATGACAGAGAGATATCAGACACAATCTTCCAGGTATTTCAATTTAACAGCCAACCTTTGTTTTACATAGTGCTTGAATGCCTTTATATTTGCCATCATTCTGCTTTTATATATTGAAATTAAAATAAAATAAAAGCACAGATACTAAAACTTAAAAAAGGAATCAAACATAGAAATAATCCGATAATAAGTTGTTGTGAGTTTCCTGGGCTGTATGGCCATATTCCAGAAGGATTCTCTCCTGACGTTTCACCCACATCTATGGCAGGCATCCTCAGAGGTTCTGAGGTCTGTTGGAAACTAGGCAAGTGAGGTTTATATATCTGTGGAATGTCCAAGGTGGGAGAAAGAACTCTTGTCTGATTGAGGTAAGTGTGAATGTTGCAATTGACCATCTTGATTAGCACTGAATAGCCTTGCAGCTTCAAAGCCTGGCTGCTTCCTGCCTGGGGGAATACTTTGTTGGGAGGTATTAACTGGCCCTGATTGTTTCTTGTCTGTTTCCCCTGTTTTCTGAGTTTTGTTCTTTATTTACCGTCCTGATTTTGGAGATTTTTAATACTGGTAGCCAGATTTTGTTCATTTTCATCATTTTCTTCTTTCTGAAATTGAGATTGTCCGCATGCTTGTGGATTTCAGTGACTTCTCTGTCTAGTCTGACATGGTCGTTGTTAGAGTGGGCCAGCATTTCTGTATTCCCAAATAATATATCATAATATCCCAAATAATATCCCATTATATTACTTTTCCATAACTTCCCCCTGCCCCTGTCAACAAAAGCTAACAAATAAACTCTATCCTCCTTTTAAAAAATAGATCCAAAGTATATTAAAAGCATTAAAAAACACAACGGAGGATATCTTAATTCCATTAGGTCTTACTGGGACTGCAATTCAGTGTTTCTTTTGTTTTGCCCACCTACTTTTGCTCTTTTTTTGTCGTGTCAGGAGCGACTTGAGAAACTGCAAGTTGCTTCTGGTGTGAGAGAATTGGCCGTCTGCAAGGACGTTGCCCAGGGGACACCCGGATGTTTTGATGTTTTACCATCCTTGCATGGGGAGCTGGAGCTGATAGAGGGAGTTCATCCGTGCTCTCCCAGGATTCGAACCTGCGACCTGTCGGTCTTCAGTCCTGCCGGCACAGGGGTTTAACTCACTGCGCCACCGGGGACTCCTTACTTTTGCTCTGAAAGCTAAACTTTCTAGATTAGGGTTTGGCAACCAGGCAAATTTCAGAAGTCTTCTTCAGGTCATCAGTTCAACCCACTGGAATTTATTTGTCCTTTCCCCACCAGACAACTGAGGGGAGAGGGAGAAAAGGAATGGATTCATTTCTTTTTGTTCTATCAGCATCCATTCTGGCCAGGCCCGTAGCCAGGATTTCGATTTGGGAGGGGGGGGGGCTGAGTTAGATTCGGGGGGGAGCTGAGTCTGAGTGAAAGAGGGTCTACCCTAGCAAACCTTTTGTATCATTACCCCAATACCCCCATGCATATGGGATATATTGAGTATGGTGATCAGATCATGATATGAATAAACATAACAGTTTAAATAATGCACCAGTAAGGCCTTTTTGCGAACCACCATGAGAATTTTTTTGGGGGGGGGTGTGTGTGCCCCTCAACACCCCCCCCCCCCCCCCCGCTACATGCCTGATTCTGGCTTCACATTATTTCATCACCAACTTGCAACCCAAATAGTATGGGCAATGACAGAAAAAAACACTATTCTCTTGTTCTTGATCAAGTAAGGTTTGTATCTCATTAACATATGAGATTTCAGTTTTAGGATCTACAGAATTTTGTCACCTTCCCATATTCCTATCTCTGGGGGGGGGGGGGGGGGGGGGGGGGGGGGGCGGGGGGCAGAAAGTTAGTGTAACATTTAGTAACTTGGATGTTGTCTTTCTGTCTGGCTAAACAGTTAAGTAAAGATTCACATTTAATTTATTGAAATACTTCAATTGTTATTCTAGGAATATGGTCACAAATTAAGAAAGGGCACGTTGCTGACACATGTCCCTATTTCTTATTTTAGCAATATGGAAGCCAATTTGAAAAGGACATGCCAATGACAGATGTGGATCCTATTTCTGCACAAAGGAATAGCTCTGTCAACTTCATTAGGATGGTATGCTACTTTACATAAATGTAGTATTACAAATGAATGGGCTGCAAAACTACCTGCTGTGCTGGAAATAAATCTATTTATTATTTCAGTTTGGACTAAGCTCAAGGAGTGTTGTTCCCCACTGAGCCTCATGTGGTGCGCTGTCCCTGTTGTATGCCTGTCTCATATGTCATTGCTACACCAACAACAGCTGTCTTTGGTTTCCTAATCTAAAAATACAACATAATTAATGTAGCATAGAACTGTGTGTATAAAGCATATTTTCAGACAGACAGCTCCTTCCGCCAGGAGTTAGAAAGCACTGTGCCTTCTTTGAAATGTCCTTAACAGATTTTTTCCAGTGAGAAAAATGAGAGAAATACTGACGGGAAAAGAAAAGAGGCTTATGAGTGATAAAAACAGTTGTGTGAAGCTTTTGTAAAATTCTTTGAATTGGTCAGGACACCACTATTAAAGTTTCATCTGGAACTGCTTAGAGACAAATGGACATATCAGAGGACACATCACTTGCCTGTTTTAATCCCAATATTCAGGTTATGTATGAGCGGTTTAAGATTACAGTTTGCAATCTAGACACAGCTGCCTAAATCTTTCAGGTATATATTTTTTAATCTAGCACTTTACTTTAAATTATTTCAAAATCAAAGAACTACCACATCTTGTATTTTGAAAAAAATGTGTTACCAGATTGGGAAGAGAGTGTCCTAGTGCACATTGTACAATCTGTCATATTTCTCGTAAATCTAATCTTTTTTGGCAGTGTAGGCTATTGGTTCCAGCAATGACTTGGCTAGAAAATGCTGGTTCTATGGTTGTTTTCAGGGAAGAAGTGACACAAAACATGTTTGTTTCTGTAGCCAAACACATGGCAATTTAGCATTTAATCACATTTATTAATTGCTGTGCATTTTTTTTACAGATGAGAAAGCAAGTTAGAAAACAAATTGTGACCATTCAGCACAAATATAATTTATCAGATATTGTGAATGATTATGAAGAAATTATATCTATGAGGTACATATTTAGAAATTGGAATTCTGTGTGTTGGGTTGAGATGAGGAAACAAAAGATTTGTAATAGTTGGCAATATCAAATTTAACAGATAATTTTTTTATTATAAGATGCCAGAAGGTAGAAAGCCAGGAAAGTGTTGTGGTTCAGACAGATGAAGATGGGGTTTCAAAGCCTGGGAGAGTGGTGGGTGGTTCTTTCGATGAGGGAAATGAGGGGATTTCAGAGCAATAATAATAATAATAATAATAATAATAATAATAATAATAATAATATATTATATTCCGTTCTATCTCCCCAAAGGGACTCAGGGCAGATAAGAACTTGAACAGGAAAGTGTACTTGATATCCTTACTATTAAACGGTCTTGCTTGATCTGAAATCTCAATGAGACACTCTCTAATTCAAGAGATGCAAAACATGAAGGCATTTCTTTGACCTTGAGGTTCTGGCTTGTGAAACATCTGTGAGATGAAGTTTGAAAGTGAAACTGTTTTGGAGTCCAGCAGACAAGGGGAGGACCTTTCACCCACAAGGAGCTTGGCAACCCCTGATAAAGACCTGGCAGACCAAGATAGCTCATCTGAGGGAACAACTTGGTTAGACAAGGGATATCAGGCTAGATCTGAGGGAGAAAAACATCAGGCGCAGGAAATCCAAAAGAATCAGTGAGAAAAAAGCGCAGAGAAAGTTTCACAAGCCAGAACCTCAAGATCAAAGAAATGCCTTTGTGTTTTGTAGCCCTTGAATTAGAGAACGTCTCATTGAGATTTCAGATCAGGCAACACTATTTTATAGTAAGGATTTCTGGTCCACTTTCCATCAAGTTCTTGGGAGTTTTGATTCATGTTTTAAGAAGTTCTTATAGCCATGGTTTTTCTGGATTCATGTTCATGTTTTGATTCGTGTTTCTTTTATTATGTTCATGTTATGATTCTTGTTGTACCATTTGGATTATTTGGATTATTGCCTTTGAAGTGTTTTACTCCTCACCAGCTTGGTTGGTTTTTTACATATTGACTACCTTTTCTGATTACCTGTTGGATTTTGCCTTTCTTATTCCTTTTTGTGATTTTTCACTTTTTATATGTATTATCTTAAATAAACTATTTTAGTACTGCTTTTGGATTCCTGGTTGGTGCTAAGGACATGGCGAACTCTAGCTGGGGTGCAACAGAAAGGATGTTTACTCAAAAGTATGGTTTCCTAACTCTAAAAAATGCCACAGTAAATAAAAATACATAATTGAATTTACAGTTTTCTCATGTTGGCATATAAATTACTTCTATATTTCCTTTCTAGCCAATTGAGTGATGCAATTTTCAAGTTAGGGGAACGCAGAAGGCATTTGAAGCCACAAAGGAAAGAGAGACGCAAGATCCCAGCGCAGGCTGTCTCTGATGGAGATGTTAAACTTCTCATAAGAATATTGAGAGCATATAATATTCCTGAAAGAAAGGTGTTGGAAACTAAGTAGGTATAGAATGCAACTATGAATGTAGCGATTATTTGCAATCTCCCATATGGTATCTGTAACATTCAGGAAAATATGAAGATTATTCAAAGCTTTATTCTTTGTGTCTTTCATTATATGATTTTTAGTTTAAAATGTGGCTTTGCTTCTTTAATGAAGAAACAGAATGTAAGAATTAAGTACTACAAACATTTGAGTAAATATTTCCAGCTATTGAAGGTAATTGAAAGAAATGAAAGACACAATGAGACTAACTAGAAGGATTTTTTTACAATAATAATGTGAAACATTAATAGAAATATAAGGTATACATTTTAAGCACAGTGCATGCTTTACTTTAGGCTTTAATTGTCAACACATTGTTAGTACTTTGTTCTATTTTTGTCTGAAGATGAATTGCTTTGAAAGACTATTTTAATGTATAAACATGTAGAGGAATCTTATGAAAGCATGTATGTTTACCATAACAGTCTCCAAATTTAATCTAATTCTTCCACAAAGTCCAAAGTTTAGTGTATTCTGAAACAAAGAGAAAACAATGTGCCCTTATGAATGTGTAGCATTCTTTCAAACTTATTATGTAAATAATTTGGTTTAAATGGTACAGTGTAGGTTGCATGCAGACAGAGTTTCTTTTCAGATCTAAATCTAAGTAATATTTAACAACAGTCATTGTACAGAAAAGAATTACAAACTATGTAAACTGCTACAGTCAGACTGGCTTGAAGAGAACGACATCCTTTTGCTACAAATCTCTCTGAACTAATATATTATTCATAATTTCGCCCAAGCATTGAGGTACAATGCTTGGGGAGGAGCAGAGGATAAGTTCAACTAGCCCCAGATGTGATGACGCAGCTAGCTCAAAGCCGAAAGGAAGGCTAGCGGCCGACGGTACTGGAGGTGAACGACGAATCCGATGCTCTAAAGATCAACACACCATAGGAACCTGGAATGTAAGATCTATGAGCCGGGGCAAATTGGATGTTGTTATTGGTGAGATGTCAAGACTAAAGATAGACATTCTGGGGGTCAGCGAACTGAAATGGACTGGAATGGGCCACTTCACATCAGATGACCACCAGATCTACTCCTGCGGACAAGAGGAACATCGAAGAAATGGAGTAGCCTTCATAATTAATAAGAAATTCGCTAAAGCGGTGCTTGGATACAACCCAAAAAATGACAGAATGATCTCAATTCGAGTGCAAGGAAAGCCTTTCAACATTACAGTGATCCAAATATATGCCCCACCCACAGCTGCTGAAGAAGCAGAAGTAGATCAGTTCTATGAGGATCTGCAGGACCTACTGGATAATACACCAAAAAGAGACATTATTTTCATTACAGGAGACTGGAATGCCAAGGTGGGAAGTCAAATGACAACAGGGATCACAGGCAAGCATGGTCTGGGAGAACAAAATGAAACGGGACGCAGGCTGATAGAATTTTGCCAGGAAAACTCGCTGTGTATAACGAATACTCTCTTCCAACAACCTAAAAGACGGCTTTATACATGGACCTCACCAGATGGTCAACACCGAAATCAGATTGACTACATCCTTTGCAGCCAAAGGTGGCGGACATCCATCCAGTCAGTGAAAACAAGACCTGGAGCTGACTGTAGCTCAGATCACGAACTTCTTATTGCTCAATTTAGAATAAAACTAAAGAGATCAGGGAAAATACACAGACCAGTTAGATATGATCTCACTAACATTCCTAGCGAATATACAGTGGAAGTGAAGAACAGATTTGAAGGACTAGATTTAGTAAACAGAGTCCCAGAAGAACTATGGACAGAAGTCCGCGACATTGTTCAGGAGGCGGCAACAAAGTACGTCCCAAAGAAAAAGAACACCAAGAAGGCAAAATGGTTGTCTGCTGAGACACTGGAAGTAGCCCAAGAAAGGAGGAAAGCAAAAGGAAACAGGGATAAGGGGAGATATGCCCAGTTAAATGCGCAATTCCAGAGGTTAGCCAGAAGAGATAAGGAACTATTTTAAACAAGCAATGCATGGAAGTGGAAGAAGACAACAGAATAGGAAGGACAAGAGACCTCTTCCAGAAAATTAGAAACATTGGAGGTAAATTTCAGGCAAAAATTGGTATGATAAGAAACAAAGATGGCAGGGACCTAACAGAAGCTGAAGAGATCAAGAGAAGGTGGCGAGACTATACAAAAGATCTGTATAGGAAGGATAATAATATTGAGGATAGTTTTGACGGTGTGGTGAATGAATTAGAACCAGACATCCTGAGGAGTGAGGTTGAATGGGCCTTAAGAAGCATTGCTAACAACAAGGCAGCAGGAGACGACGGGATCCCAGCTGAACTGTTTAAAATCTTAAAAGATGATGCTGTCAAGGTGATGCATGCCATTTGCCAGCAAATATGGAAAACACAAGAATGGCAATCAGACTGGAAAAAATCAACTTATATCCCCATACCAAAAAAGGGAAATGCGAAAGACTGCTCCAACTTCCGTACAGTGGCCCTTATTTCTCATGCCAGTAAGGTAATGCTCAAGATCCTGCAAGGAAGACTCCAGCAATACATGGAGCGAGAGTTGCCAGATGTTCAAGCTGGGTTTAGAAAAGTCAGAGGAACGAGAGACCAGATTGCCAATATCCGCTGGATAATGGAGAAAGGCAGGGAGTTTCAGAAAAACATCTACTTCTGCTTCATTGACTATTCTAAAGCCTTTGACTGTGTGGATCATAATAAATTGTGGCAAGTTCTTGTGGGATGGGCATCCCAAGCCACCTTGTCTCTCTCCTGAGGAATCTGTACAAGGCCCAAGTAGCAACAGTCAGAACTGACCACGGAACAACAGACTGGTTCAAGATTGGGAAAGGCGTACGGCAAGGCTGCATCCTCTCACCCAACCTTTTTAACTTGTATGCAGAACACATCCTGCGATGTGCGGGGCTTGATGAATGCAAGGCTGGGGTGAAAATTGCTGGAAGAAACATTAACAACCTCAGATATGCAGATGACACCACCCTGATGGCCGAAAGCGAGGAGGAGCTGAGGAGCCTTCTAATCAAGGTGAAAGAAGAAAGCGCAAAAGCCGGGTTGCAGCTAAACGTCAAAAAAACCAAGATTATGGCAACAAGAATGATTGACAACTGGAAAATAGAAGGAGAAACCGTGGAGGCCGTGACAGACTTTGTATTTCTAGAGGCAAAGATTACTGCAGATGCAGACTGTAGCCAGGAAATCAGAAGACGCTTACTTCTTGGGAGGAGAGCAATGTCCAGTCTCGATAAAATAGTGAAGAGTAGAGACATCAGACTGGCAACAAAGATCCGCCTAGTCAAAGCCATGGTATTCCCTGTAGTCACCTACGGATGTGAGAGCTGGACCTTAGGGAAGGCTGAGCGAAGGAAGATAGATGCTTTTGAGCTGTGGTGTTGGAGGAAAGTGCTGAGAGTGCCTTGGACTGCGAGAAGATCCAGCCAGTCCATCCTCCCGGAAATAAAGCCCGACTGCTCATTGGAGGGAAGGAGACTAGAGACAAAGTTGAAGTCCTTTGGCCACATCACGAGGAGACAGGAAAGCCTAGAGAAGACAATGATGCTGGGGAAAGTGGAAGGCAAAAGGAAGAGGGGCCGACCAAGGGCAAGATGGATGGATGGCATCCTTGAAGTGACTGGACTGACCTTGAGGGAGCTGGGGGTGGTAACGGCCGACAGGGAGCTCTGGCGTGGGCTGGTCCATGAGGTCACGAAGAGTCGGAGACGACTGAACGAATGAACAACAACAATTGAGGTACAAAAAAACTATTAACTCATTGCTCCCACACTGAGAAAAAAGACATGGGATTCCAGATCTGGATTTAAAAAAAACTTTATTGATATAATAAGCAGAAAACTCAGTTAGAAAGATATCCTACACAGTTCAAGTACTACATATATGTGAGACCAAAGGCATGCTGTCATTTCTGATCATCCCCTTCTGTGCTCCTTGTTACCATCCCTTTTCAACGTGCTGTTGTGGCCCCTGGTAACAACCTCACTTCTAAGTGTTTGAGCCCTTGGAATAAACAAGACTCCATATCTAAAGCCAATTTTACTTTCCTTGAATTGCGGTGAGCTTCTGAAAACTAGCCTTCTCTGAAATTCTCTGGAGTTGAAGGTTGACTTTTGATGGAATTCTGCATTTCCTGTTTTGCACCATGTCTCTGTCTTTAAGCACACCAACAAGAGCGACAGCTACCGTATGTTGTTACAGCTTAATGGTGTAACATTAGAAAATGTTGATCATTTCAGCTACCTTGGCAGCCCCCTCTACACCAAAGTCAACATCCGACACCGAAATACAACACCGCCTGAGCTCTGCGAGTGCAGCATTTTTCAGAATGAAGCAGAGAGTGCTTGAGGACCGGGACATCCGTAGGGATACCAAGGTACTTGTTTATCATCATCATCATATTTAATTACTTATTAATCGCCCTCCATCCGAGATGCTCTAGGCGATTTACAAGCTAAATTGTAAAAGATAAAAATACATACATACAAAAATTAACAATTAACATAGATCAAATGCTCTAGTGAAAAGCCAGGTCTTAAGTGCTAGAGTAAAAGGCCCTAAGTCACGCATGGCTTTATAAAGCTATTGTCCTCCTAACCCTGCTATATGCCTGCGAGATGTGGACTGTCTACAGATGTCACATGCAACTCCTGGAACGATTCCATCAGCGCTGCAATCCTGCAAATCTCTTGGGAAGACAAGCGGACAAGTGTCAGCGTGCTGGAAAAAGCAAAGACCAGCATTGAAGCGATGGTCCTCCGCCATCAACTCCGCTGGACCGGCCACGTTGTCCGGATGCCCGACCACCATCTCCCAAAGCAGTTGCTCTACTCCAAACTCAAGAACGGAAAATGGAATGTTGGTAGACAGGAAAAGAGATTTAAAGATGGGCTCAAAGCCAACCTTAAAAACTCTGGCATAAACACTGAGAACTGGGAAGCCCTGGTCCTTGAGCACTCCAGCTGGAGTTCAGCTGTGACCAACAGTGCTGCAGAATTTGAAGAGGCATGAATGGAGGGTGAAAGAGAGAAACATGCCAAGAGGAAGGCGCGTCAACCAATCCCGGCCGAGACCGCCTTCCACCTGGAAACCAATGCCCTTACTGCGGGAGAAGATGCAGGTCAAGAATAGGGCTCCACAGTCACCTACGGATCCACAAGAATACTGATCCTGGAAGACTATCCTACTCGGCAAACGAGGGATTGCCTAAGTAAGTAAGTATGTTGTTGTCCACATCATGTAACATAAAGAGTAACAGAATGGACTCTGAGTTTTCCTTAAATCTGCTGTTCCTTTGTCAGTTCTTTGGGATAACTCCAAACTCTTTCCCTTTACCTTGGTTTTGATGTTAGCTATCAACCTCTCCTTATGCTGCTGGAGTACTGTATTGCTGTGTTGTACTGTTATTATTAACAGCACAGACAACAACATAAAAGTCCTACAATATTTTAGGAGGTTTGGGATTCTAGTTTCAGTCACAAGGTGGAGATCTAACCCTCCATCATATTGTGTAGGTAAAATAAGTGCTAACTTTCTGTCTGCCACCCCGTTCCATGAGTCATGAATAACCCAATGAGTTTGAGGATCTCTGACACAGCGTTAGTCAGTGAATTGCAATTTGGGGCTTGTTATGACTAAAGAAGGAAACTACAGGCTCTGGAATGTACTCTTTGTAAATGATTTCACTACATGGCACAATATGTTCTGAAATATCACTACTGAAATTTGGGGGAAATTGGGACACTTTTGTCAACCATCGTTAGATAATATATTACAGAAATAGTCTCTGTAGCTGGGAATTGGGTAAAAGCCTGCCTCCTCTTGCCCAGAGTAAAAATACGTATGTGTGCTGCTTATTTGATATAGAAAAGTCAATAGCAGGTTTTTATTTTACATAAGATAAGCAACTTACAGTATAGCATCTCAGTTCATAAGAGGTCTCTAAACAAAACAAAATAAAACAAATTATTAAGTTTCCAGGTTTTATTTAATTAGTAGTACAATGAAAAGCTGGCTGCCTACTAATAAAGGCTATTTCTATACAGTAGAGTCTCACTTATCCAACCTTCACTTATCCAACGTTCTGTGTTATCTAACGCAGTCCAGGGTGAGAAAAAGAAAGAACCCTTGTCTGTTTTGGTGCTAAATTAATAAATACAGCCATTACTAATACAGCCATTGTTAATATTTTTATGTTGATTTGTTGTAAAACATGACGTTTTGGTTCTTAATTTGTAAAATCATAAGGTAAACATAACGTAATTTGATGTTTAATATGCTTTTCCTTAATCCCTCCTTATTATCCAACATTTTTGCTTATCCAATGTTCTGCTGGCACGTTTATGTTGGATAAGTGAGACTACACAGTATTTAGACTTTTTTGTTTCTCTCTCTGATCCATAAACTGCCACATCAAAAACCCCAGCTCAATTTTCTGTGACTCTTCAGTGGCCTTTCACTCCTAAACCTCAACTAATGTTTCTGCTGCCTTGTTGTTGCATTTATGTCTTTATGAACATAAATAGACCAAAATGTAAGTATTTTCGTTAGAGAAATTAGCTAAAATATGTATATCATTTTTATTCAATATTTCAAGGGGGGCAGTCTCTCATTCTTCATCTTACTTATTGAATCGTATGTCCCGTGGCAGACATATTTTCTCAGGAAACTCAGCCTATACACCTGATCTTCCCAGTGAGGTAATTATATAATAATTGTTTTTTTTTTTAATTTTAAGAATACAATCATGCCTCTTTCCTGTATAGGCATGAATTTAATGAAGTGAGCAATGCAATAATATATTCATATAGGATCCCCGGTGGTGCAATGGGTTAAACCCATGTGCCAGCAGGAGTGCTGACTGAAAGGTCAGCAGTTTGAATCCGGGGAATAGGGTGAGCTCCCATCTGTCAGCTCCAGCTTCTCATGCAGGGAGAAGAGAGAAGCTTCCCACAAGATGGTAAAATGTCCTGGGCAACGTCCTTCCAGAAGGCCAATTCTCTCACACAAGAAGTGACTTGCAGTTTCCTCAAGTTGCTCCTGATACACACACACACACTTCATTCATTTGGAGCCCCCGGTGGCACAGTGGGCTAAACCACTGAGCTGCTGAACTTGCTGACCAAAAGGTTGTAGGTTCAAATCTAGGCAGCTGTGCGAGCTCCTGCTGTCAGCCCCAGCTTCTGCTAACCTATCAGTTTGAAAACATGCAAATGTGAGTAGATCAATAGGTACCGCTCCTGCAGGAAGGTAACAGCTCTCCATGCAGTCATGCCAGCCACATGACCTTGGAGCTGTCTACGGACAACGCCGGCTCTTTGGCTTAGAAATGGCGAGGAGCACCAACCTCCAGAGTTGGACACAACTGGACTTAATGTCAGGGGGAATCCTTTACCTAACTTAATCATTCATTCATATACAAGACATTATCTACTAGCTAAAAGTTTACTTTGATTAAACAAGTGACATTTTATCATTAGCCATATTCTTTCAACAGCTTCTTGGGTATTTCAGTGCTACTTAGTTGGTGGATTTTGATGTTTACAAGAGAAGCCATGTCTGTTGGGAAACAGTTTGATTAGCTTTGTTGTTTAGGATTTGACAGTTTCTCTGACAGACTTAAGAAATAAAATCAGATGTGAGCTCCACTTTGAGACTAACTGCAGATATTTTGACTACAATATCTGGTCTATTTTTGTTTTGTTTTGTATGTCTTTCCCATAGCCTGATAAAGAATTTTGGAGATGTCATATTTATACAATAGTGGTTTCTGGATCATTATTATTATTATTATTTTTAAAAACCTGATTATGACACATCATTACATCAGGGCTGTCAAACTTTTTTTCTTTTACTATTTCTCTTGTTTATGTTGTTGTTCATTCGTTCAGTCGTCTCTGACTCTTCGTGACCTCATGGACCAGCCCACGCCAGAGCTCCCTGTCGGCCGTCACCACCCCCAGCTCCTTCAAGGTCAGTCCAGTCACTTCAAGGATGCCCTCCATCCATCTTGCCCTTGGTCGGCCCCTCTTCCTTTTGCCTTCCACTTTCCCCAGCATAATTGTCTTCTCTAGGCTTTGCTGTCTCCTCATGATGTGGCCAAAGTACTTCAACTTTGTCTCTAGTCTTCTTCCCTCCAGTGAGCAGTCGGGCTTTATTTCCTGGAGGATGGACTGGTTGGATCTTCTCGCAGTCCAAGGCACTCTCAGAACTTTCCTCCAACACCACAGCTCAAAAGCATCGATCTTCCTTCGCTCAGCCTTCCCTAAGGTCCAGCTCTCACATCCGTAGGTTACTACAGGGAATACCATGCCTTTGACTAGGCGGATCTTTGTTGCCAGTCTGATGTCTCTACTCTTTACTATTTTATCGAGATTGGACATTGCTCTCCTCCCAAGAAGTAAGCGTCTTCTGATTTCCTGGCCACAGTCTGCATCTGCAGTAATCTTTGCACCTAGAAATACAAAGTCTGTCACAGCCTCTACGTTTTCTCCCTCTATTTCCCAGTTGTCAATCATTCTTGTTGCCATAATCTTGGTTTTTTTGATGTTCAGCTGCAACCCAGCTTTTGCGCTTTCTTCTTTCACCTTGATTAGAAGGCTCCTCAGATCCTCCTCACTTTCGGCCATCAGAGTGGTGACCCCCCCCCCCCCCCCCCCCCCCCCCCCCCCCCCCTCCCCCCCCCCCCCCCCCCCCCCCCCCCCCCCCCCCCCCCTCCTCCCTTTCGGCCATCAGAGTGGTGTCATCTGCATATCTGAGGTTGTTAATGTTTCTTCCAGCAATTTTCACCCCAGCTTTGCATTAATCAAGCCCCGCACATCGCATGATGTGTTCTGCATACAGTTAAAAAGGTTGGGTGAGAATATGCAGCCTTGCCGTACGCCTTTCCCAATCTTGAACCAGTCTGTTGTTCCGTGGTCAGTTCTTACTGTTGCTACTTGGTCCTTGTACAGATTCCTCAGGAGAGAGACAAGATGGCTTGGTATGCCCATCCCACCAAGAACTCTTGTTTATAGTTTTCCATTATTGTTTGATAACATTAAAACATGCGCCCTCACCCAACAGCATGACAAAGTTGATTTTGTTTGGTATGTAAAATTACCTTAAATTATTTTGTTGAAAAATCTCTATAGCCCAGAAGATGCAAGGCACTGTAATATGTGCAAACTATGATTTAGGTTATATGCACACTTTCTGACTTTTGCTGCTGTTATGTTTTATATTAAGCATTAAAAAATAAGGTATTAAGCCTTAATATCGGGTTTTTTTCATATCGGGAGTGACTTGAGAAACTGATATGAGAGAATCCTAACTTTTATGATATAGGCTTTTTATCTGTAATGTGTTTTAACTTTTGTGAGTATCCTTGAGATCAGTTCTAAATAAAGTTAATGATAAGTTTGAAAACATGATTGTAATTAATTATAGACAGCATTTGCTTTGTTTTAGATTTCTGTCCACCCTTTTGTAGAAGTAACTTTCCAGAACACAGTGTATCAGACAAGTACTGCTGATGGCTCACATCCATGTTGGAACGAAGAACTTCAAGTTGATTTCACGTAAGTCACCTGTATCGTGTAATTTACATTTCCTACAGCCACACTCAATCTGCTCTGTTTCCTGGGGCATTTGAAACAATTTGCTTCTGTTACATTTGCTACAACGAGTAGTTTACAGGTAGCATTCCTTATCCTTTGCTGTGGTTATAAGAATGGATCCTGTTGCCCAAGTCGAAACAGTTTCCTTTAGGTAAGTGGGACGGGAATGGATTTCAGGTGTACAATGCTTTTTGACTATTAGCACAATTAAGTAACTTCATTGCCTTTGTGGTCTGATTATTGATTTATTATTTTTACAAAAGAAGGTGGTATTTTTGTTGTGTGGTTTACAATATTTATTTCTTTGTTTCAGGTCACCAGGACATGACTATACTTTCTCAGGGCTATCTAAAATAAAAGACAACATAAATATTAACATTTTTGATGAATTTGTAATTGAAAAGCATGAGGTAAATTTCTATTATGCACTGGGAAGAAATGTAATCATGTGAATTATTTAACAGACCATCATGGATTTGTCAGGAATTATTTAACTGTGAATTTCCTATATGGATTGAATGATTGCTGAGATCCTTTGCAACTCTACAGTTCTATGATTCTATGAATGTTTACTTTTTAAAGGCTTTGCTTTTAAATGTACAAGTGATCAGAAATGGTGAGAGTGGTGCTAGGTTGAAGAAGCCACACAAGCATTTTGTTTCCATTCCTGAACAAACAATGGCAGGTGCATGTCTGAGGTTCACTGTTGCATCCGTTTCAAGGAAAGAAGATATGTAGACTCTGAGTTAACTGGAACTCAAGCAACCAGCAAAAAAATTGAAGAAATGCTACCTTAACTAAAAATGAAAATACATGTATAATGTAGTAAACGTGTGTTTATTAAGGTATGTTTGTCTGTCTTTGTCTTAATTTGATTTTAATTATTGTAATTTAATATTAGTATCAAGTCAATACAGAGTTTATGGTATGGTATAGTATTGGGAGCCCCCGGTGGTGCAGTGGGTTAAACCACTGAGATGCTGCACTTGCTGACCAAAAGGTCGGTGGATTGAATCCGGGGAGCGGGATGAGCTCCCGTTGTTAGTCCTAGCTTCTGCCAATCTAGCAGTTCAAAAACATGCAAATGTTAGTAGATCAATATATCTTGTTTCTTGTCTGAGTTTTCAGTTCTTTTTTTAACAGTATCTTAATTTACACTTTTAAAATTACCGCTCTAGCAGGAAGGTAATGGAACTCCATGCAGTCATGCTGGCCACATGACCTTGGGGGTTTTTATGCATATATCTATATTATGTATGCTTGTGAATTTTCAGGAAAAATACAATGTGTCTGATGAATACCTTAAATCTGCCCTGACTGATCAATTATGACAGCAAGTGAAAAAAGCCACATTATTTGATTTGACTCATTGTGAAGCCATTGATATGTAAAATATATATGTATGTGTATAGATCTTTACATCTAAAATACCAACCATCAGCCCAAGTTTTGTTTCCTTAGGATGTCTGCCCGAAAAGCTGCAGTAGTCATTCCTATGTAAGGAAGAATTGGCTTGGATCAGTTACATTTCCTTTTTCAGCTCTCCTGGAACAATCAAAGGTAACAAACAAGAAGAAATATACATACATTTAAGGGGTTGGAGCTAAATCCAAAGGCTCTCTGGCAGAATTTCTGGAACTGCTGTTCTTCTGTAGCCTCTTCAGCTATTGAAAACCTGGGTCCCATCTACACTGCCATATAGTGCATGTTGTGATAGAGTCTGCTGGCAGTGATAGTAACACTAGTTGTATTAGGAGAGGCAGGAAAACTACTCACGAGCAAGACTATGATGAAGAGCAACAGAGGAAAAGAATCCGGGATATACTTAGTAAGTCAACAGATGAGGATTCTTTTGAAGGTTTTGATGCAAATGAAATGGATGATGGGATATCAGACTCTGGGTCTGATGGGTTGGATTGGACAAGGGTTCAAGAGATTCAGGATATTTGTGCTGAACCCACAAGCAGTGGCACGTTTGAAGGTTGGAGTAGTGAAGGCATGGATGGGTCTTGGGGAACTTCAGGATTAGACCAGAGATGGACTACTTGGAGGAGTGGTGGAAGAGGCACAGCTGGGGATGGGTTGGGCCAAACTAGGGGCGACTCCAGTTCGGATGAGGAGTTACAACAGGATGCAGCTGGGACAAGAGTGTTGGCTGAATCAAGTTCTGATGAGGAGTTGTAGATAAAATGGGAGTGTTTGCAATTGTAACTTTGCAATCGGCAAGGTGTCTTGTTGGGCGCTTTCTGGATCGTTGTGTTACAGAAGACGGGTTTGGAAGAAGACTTTGGGATGTAAGTTATGCTCTGGGTTTAAGTAGCAAAGGGGGCTGGAACTGTGTGGGTTTCTGCTGGACTGCACTGTTTTGATATTTGCATTAGCTACCATATTGCCCCTGTTGCTTTGGCTCCTTGTGACTTTCATTGGATCGGGACCTGACCTTGCAGCTATTCGTTTCCCTTCGGACTGGACTGGACTGGACTTCAACTATCGGCGTTACTCTCCCTTCCACATCTGCGGCTGTGTTTCTGGAGTTGGCGTTATCATCCTTCCTGCATTCCAGCCTTGGAGTTCAGCGTGGCGTTTCCTACAGTGTTTGAGGCTCGGGTTACATTTTGCAACCTTTGAAAGACTGCTGCTCATTAGAGTGGCTGTGAACATCATTCTACAGTTTGTTTTGCCTCTGTTATTTGTCTGAGCAAGTTAGAGCTGAATTAAGCATTTTGTGTTTAACCCGGATTATATCTCTGGATAATCCAGGTTATATTCCGGTTGGGGTTTTGTGGGTTATTTTGCCTTTTTTGAACTATTTCGCACTGAAGATTAAGTGTTTTTTGCCTGTGGTTTTGTTTTGGGCTGTTTTGTGTTTGTTTGAGCAATAAACTATACTTATTTAATTGGCTGGCGTCTGACCTTGACAGTGCAGCTTAAAACTGTATTATATAGTCAGTGTAGACTCATGTAATGCAGTTCAATGCAGATAAATGACAATATATAATTCGACACTGACCATATAATACAGTTTCAAGCTGCAATAATTGGCAATGTAAATGGGACCCTAATTTTCTTGCTTTACAGAGATGTTTTGGGGGCTGCACACGAGCTTGCAACAGAGAGGGAAATTAATAATAATAATAATAATAATAATAATAATAATAATACTTTATTTATACCCCGCCACCATCTCCCCGAGGGGACTTGGAGCGGTTTACTTGAGGCCAAGCCCGACAACACATCAATAAAACAAAAGGCAATAAGCAAATAAAACAATACGATTAGTATAAAACATATAAACAATAACACACAAGGATTTAAAAACCTATGGCCGGGCCAAATGTAATAGTTTAAAAATTTAAAAAATAAACGCTGGGCATGAACAGAGGTAGGATGTATCTGGTAGGAGGGTTTTAAAAGAAATAAAGGGAGAGCAACCCAACGAGTAGTTAAAGTGCGTCTGAGGACATTTTGCTGGGAATTGCCCCCTTTTAGTTGTTCTGGATTCTGCCTTTCTGACAGGAAAACTCCTTCATTGATCTCTGTCCTTTGTCACTTCAGATAATCCCAAATAATATATTGATTTTAAAATAGCTAGACTGTAATGCTGTTATCTCTTCAATTTTCCAGCCCTATGGCTTGCCTTCATTGAAATGAATACTGTTGAGGTGCTAATGATTGTTATACTGATGTTTAATGATTTATGTTACAATTGTTTTTAAGTGCCCCATACTTGTCTCATGATGTTTTGTATCAATGTTGTTCACCGCTTTGAGTCACCTGAGGGCTGAGAAAAGCGGTATATAAATTAAGTAAATAATAAATAAATAAATAAATGATTCTGTTAATAATGTGTTCACAGATATGTGGTACATTTCAAGTAAGCACACCACCAGTTCTGCTTGGATATACTTGGAGTAAGACATATGTACCTCCTAAAGAAGAATGCTATGGACAGAACTTGAAAGAATATACCTTTTTAACTATCTTTGCCACTATTGAACCTCAGTTATCTTCTGCTGAAAGTAACTTACAGCCAGATAAGGTTGGTGTGTGTATTCCTAATTTAAATAATAATAATCTATGTATATAATAAAAATCAAAACTTGTATGCAGAGGACAAAAGTGTGGTGGTGTGGCGGTGTATGTGCCAGCATTCTGATTGGCCAGCCTGAAAGTTCCAACATTCTGATTGGCTGCCGCAGTGGTGCTATTTGCATATGGTCCCTGATTGGCCAGCTTCAATAGGAGCCCCTGGTGGAGAAAAGAGTTCATGGCAGAAACGGGGACATGAGAAGGAAATTTGCATATGGTCTCTGATTGGCCAGCCTCAATTCCAAGATTCCGAGATGACAAAGAGAGGAAAGGAAAAGGCCAGGGGCTGAGTCAGAAAATTACCAATACAGACCAGACTTGGCACACAAAGCCCCCATGACCCACTCGACATCCTACTGCAGTTTGGAGGAGGATGAGCCATGGATGATGGGACTTGCAGTACCATCACTCATATTCTGAGACCGCTGTTAACCTCATCCAATGACTGATCAGGACCAAACTTGGCACATAGACCTCTCATGACCCACTTTACGTCATGGTGTGGTTTGGCAGGGGATGGACCATGGATTATGGGACTTGCAATACCTGCACTCCCTTCCTAAGACCATTACAACTGCCAACAATGATGGATCAGGACCACAATTTACACAGAGAGCCCGCATAACCCACTCTACATCCTGGTGTGGTTTGGAAGAATTTGACAATGGATGATGGGACTTGCAGTCACTTCACTCACTTCCTGAGACTACTGAGACCCTTGCCAATGACTGATCAAGACCAAACTTGGCACACAGAGTCCCCATGACCCACTCTACACCTGGTGTGCTTTCAAAGAGGACAGACCATGGATGATAGGACTTCAAGTACCTCCACTCTCTTCCCAAGACTGCTGCAACCCTCATATAATGTCCGAACAAAACCAAACTTGGCACACAAAGCCCCCATGACCCACTTTACATCCTACTGTGGTTTGGAGTAGGGCATACCATGGATGATGGGACTTGAAGTACCTCTGCTCGCTTTCCGAGACTGCTGCGACCCTCAACAATGACTGAACAACACCAAACTTGGCACATAGACCTCTCATGACCCACTTTACCCTATGGTGTGGTTTGACTGTGGATCGAGCATGGATTATGGGACTTGCAGTATCTTCGCTCAATTCCTGAGACCACTGCAACCATCATCCAATTTCCGATAAGGACCAAACTTGGCACACTGGGTCTCCATGATGCACTCTACATCCTGGTGCGGTTTGGAGGATGATGCACCATGGACGATGGGACTTGCAGTTCCTTCACTCACTTAGTGAAACTACTGAGACCCTCATCCAATGACTGATGAAGACCAAACTTGGCACACAGAACCCCCATGGCCAACTCAACATTCTGGTGAGGTTTGGGGGAGAACAGACTATGGATGATGGGATTTCAAGTACCTCCACTCACTTCCCAAGACTGCTGCAACCCTCATCTAATGACCAATCAAGACCAAACTTGGCACACATGAGCGACTCTACATCCTGGTGCTGTTTGGAGGAGGATGGACAATGGATGATGGGACTTGCAGTACCTTAACTCACTTTCTGAGACCGCGACCCTCATCCAATGACTGATCAAGACCAAACTTGGCACACAGAGCCCCCATGACCCACTCTCCATCCTGGTGCAGTTTGGAGGAGGATGGACCACAGATGATGGGACTCGCAGTACCTTCACTAACTTCCTGAGACCACTGCAAGCCATATAAATAACTGATAAAGACCAACCTTGATATACAATTCCTTTCTCTAATAACCCGGGCAGAGCCGGGTCCTCAAGCTAGTAATAATAATAAAACTTTATTTATACCCCACTCCATCTTCCCCAGGGGGACTTAGTGCGGCTTACATGAGGCCACGCCCATCAATACAGTACACACAATATAACACAAAAGCATAACAAAACCAGAAAATAAAATGCATAAAATGCAAAACCAATATAATAAGAGACACAACAATATAAAAACAAATCGTATTAAAACACAAAAGATTTCACTGGGCAGGGCCAAATTCAAAGATAAAATATTAAAACACTGGGAAATAGGACAATGTAAATTATCGGGGAGGAGGATCCGGGGATGAGGAAGGATTTAATTGCAGGAACCATAAAATAAAGTACTTCTGAGGTCATTTTGTGCAAAGTTTGGTCAGGGAGTATCTTGCATTCAATCACCGAAGGCACATTGGAATAACCAGGTTTTCAGATTTGTCCTGAAGATTGCCAGTGTGGGGGCTTGTCTAATATCTCTGGGGAGTGAGATCCAGAGCCGGGGGGCTACCTCTCTCTCGTCCCTACAAGTCACACTTGCAATGCGGGCGGGAGCGAGAGAAGAGCCTCTCTGGAAGATCAAAGAGATTGTGTGCATTCGTAGATGGAAATATATAAACAATATATTTCTAAATGGATATCTTCATCTATATTTGTATGAAGAGATCACTTAAAATCCTAAAATCTCACCTCATTTCTACATATGTTTTAGATTCTAAATCATGAAGATGAAACACTATTGCAAAGAGCATACATTTTTAAGCAAGCGTGTAAAATGATGTTTCCAAAGAGAAGAATAATAACTTCTGTTTTTGACAATCAAGGAAGAAATGTTTTAGTAACCAAGTATATTACACCTCTCAATCCACCACAAGTATTGCTTGATATGTATCCCGATGATCCCAACTCAATTTCTGTAAGTATGGAATGTTTGTCTTGGAATAAGAATATCCAAACTCGGTTAAGATTTTCTTTGATTTACTTTGAATAATTTCTCTGTTGTGTCTTCTAGAGTGCCAGTTAAAGATATTGCTTTCTGGCTAAATGTGTGTGTGTGTGTGTGTGTGTGTGTGTGTGTGTGTGTATGATGAACTTCAGGGATTTTTTTTTGTTTCATGTTTTTAATAACTTCAATTGTATTCATTCTATTGGAATTTCCTAACATACATTCCCAGGCCTGACTTGTTCCTGTTTATTTTGCAGGACCTTGTATCACGATTTGTGTCTTTAATTCCTTGCATGTCAGATACTGTAGATGAAAATGGTGATGTGGATATATGGATGACATCAGAGGTGTTTTTCAAGTTTTACCATTCTGTTGTTGTTTTTTAAATGATGTTTACAGAAATTAGATATGTAAATCATATAAAAATACTTGTTTTAAAAAGTACCTGATCAGTCTTTCCCAGGCTCCTTCGACACTGCCATATAAAATCTAGATTATCTGCTTTGAGCTGGATTGTGTGGCAGTATAGACTCAAAGCAAATAATCCATATTATCTGCTTTGATAATCTGGATTGTATGGCAGTGTCGAAGAAGCCCCAAAGGCAGTAGAGACTGATGGACAACATGAGGAATATCTAAGCATCCAAGGATACCGGCAGACATTCCCCAAAGCAGTTTAAAATAAGCTGTCATTAATGATGGTTCAGTATTCACCAGAGCAATGTTGGATATATAATACCAAATAAAATATATTTTTCATTATACCAAAAAAAGAAATAATTTATTTCTTTAATGTGGGAGCTTTTTTTACTCTTGCATTTGAAATTAGTATTTTATTGCTATAAGATAGAACAAAGAATCTTGCAACTTCAGAGGTTTTTTTTCATAGTAATATCTTTGTAGCACCCTTTTATGGGATGACAAAATACATCATCTGCTTTTGAAATTATGTACTCTTGCTTTTTTTACAGCACTGCATCAAATGGGGTATTTGTAATAAAGAAGAGCATGCAGTACTTCTGTGTAACTACTTTCTGTATATTGGGAAAAAAGCCTGGCTGCTTTTAGGGGCATCTGTGCTAGAAGTAAGTCTAGTGAAATATTTGCATCCTTCTTTGTATAATTCTGCACAAAAATAAAATACAGTGGTACCTCGACTTAAGAGCATCCCAACTTAAGATTGTTTTGAATTAAGAGCAGTCACTCAGCCCAGGTTTAGCTTTGACATACAACCAGTGTTTTGAGTTAAGAGTTAGTGCCAGAGGGAGCATCAGAGCAACAGTACAGGGCTTTAGGGCTTCAAGGGAGCAGCCTCTGTGCCTCATACTCTTATCCACTTTGTGAGGCTGCTGTCTGCTTTGCTCTTTTCTGCTTTGAGGAGCTTTGGGTTAGTTGATTTTATGTGGTTTTTATTACTGATATGTTTGGCTTCATGAAGAAAGAGGGGGAGAGAGAGCATGAGAGGGAGGAAGGCTGAAATAAGTACAGTATGAAGAAAATGATGCCTCTGCCTCTTCACTTTGTGTTCTGTGCTTCCTTGCCACAACTTTGTGCTTATACCATTTTAAAGTTGACCTTTCTCTTTTTATTGTTCCATGTGAATGTTCATGTATACATTATTTGTATAAATGCACATTCACATGGAAAAATAAAATATATTGTTCCTTGGAATACAATTTGGATCATGTGATTTTAATTGATGCGTTAATACTATGTTTTTAGTGGGTTTGATTTTAACATTTTTGTTTATTTACTGATGTATTAATATATGGGATTGAATTGTTGCCTTGTATTAATATATGGGATTGAATTGCTGCCCTAAGTCCCCTTTGGGGTTTAGAAGGGTGGGATATAAATGTGGTAAATAAAACAAATGTATAAACTACATTTTCTTTTTTAAAAAACATGTAACAAAACAAAAAGGGGGGTGGGGGGCTGGAGCAGATTAATAGCATTTCAACCGGGAAATTTGCTTTGAAATAAGAGCAATTTGAGTTAAGAGCTTAATTCACAGAAAAAATATTTTTTTTAATTAAGCCATCACTGTACTTAGGTGCATTTGGTGGGAACATGGGAAAGGGCCTTTTTGTTAGCTGCCCCCAGACTATGCAACACCTTCCCAAGAGAGAACAGGATGGCCCCATCCTTGCTTGCCGTCCTCAAGCAGGGCAGGACTTTCCTCTTCCAGCAGTCATTTGGGGAAGAATAAGGGTACATTGCTGGGAAGGTTGTGGGCGGGATATTTTGGGGGAGAAAGGATTATGCATCTTAAAATGCATTTTTATTTGTATTTCTTATATATAACTGTATTTAACCTAACACACAGTACTATTTATTTGATTCTTAATTGTTTCTATTTGTTTTGTTTTAAATTGATCAAAGTATATGATTGTTATCTGCCTTGAGTCCTCCCAGGGAGAAAGTTGGGGTGTAAATAAAGTAAATAAGATAATAAATAAATAAATAAATAAATAAATAGGCATTCTGCAACAGGAAACCTGGTGCAAACTCATGTTGGTAGTGTTGATTTTTCCTGTGTAAATTCTAGGGACAAGAAAACGTTTGATTTATTGTTTTATTTTTCTTGTAAAATGTGTTGCAATATTGTTATTATGTATTACACAGCCCAACAAAAAACATTTGTTGTTGCTGTTTTGGTTTTTAAGCCTGTTACTGGGGTGATTTGTGGCACTGGTTCAGAAAATTGCATTGGATAGACTGCATCAGCTCTTGTTTCTTAGATATAGTTGTCATGGTTTTCTATAGGTGAGCAAATGGCGACTCATAGATGCCCTATGTTCTGTATTTCAAGCACTAGAGCTGATAGGGCAAAACTGGTGCCATTTTTGGAATCAGGGGTCAAATATATAGAGAAACAGGGCTAATATTAGAGCAGCAAAATGTGTGTTGGCCAGTACTATTGCTATATTACTGGGTGGGGAGATATCTCCCAGAAGAGTGCATGAGCTGCCAATGTTTGATGCTGTATACAGTTCCATACATTACACATACAGCCCACAATCCTTTTATTTGGAGAAAGCATCTTAACTTCTCACATAATAAACTATTGAGCCAGGTGAATGAAGTGTGTGAGAAAAAAAAGTATGCCAAATGATTTATTTCTTTTTTAAAAAAAGTTATATTAATTTGATTAAACACTCAAGAAGTATAAATAATACATTGTTTATCCCTTTCTTTGGAAAAGAACAGGAAATGACGGTTTTTACTCTTGCTAATACAGGGGAAGGTAGCATATGTAGCATCACAAGAAAATGGAGAATTTTTCCTCTGGAATCCTCTCAGTGGCCAGTGCTACAAGCAATTCGATGCATTTTGTCCGTTACAGAGTGTTGACTGCTTGATCAATCAGGAAAATGTAAGCATTTATGATAAAATAGATTGATAAGACTGAGCATATTGTTTGCATGTTCCTTAGTTCCCCAAATAGTGAATAGTCCTATGGCTGATGCTACTAGGGTTTCTTTGTTTGTTTTTTAAATCTGTCAACATTGAAAATTTCTGGTATATTTTTAATATTTACATAGGACCCCCCGGTGGCACAATGGGTTAAACCCTTGTGCCAGCAGGACTGCTGACCAAAAGATCAGTGGTTTGAATCAGGGGAGCAGGATTATGTCCTGTCTATCCTCTCCAGCTTCCTATGCAGGGACATGAGAGAATCCTCCCACAGGATGGTAAAGCATCCAGGCGTTCCCTGGCCAACGTCCTTGCAGACAGACAATTCTCTCATACCAGAAGTGACTTGCAATTTTTCAAGTCGCTTCCAGCACAGAAAAAAAATGTATTTACACATCACTTTCCTTCAATTAAAAGATAGATCTCAAACATCACTCACTTAACATCCAGACATGTTTCACTATTTTTGTATGACATCAGCTTCAATAGGTATCAAAATGTTAAAGGTGAGAATGATCCCTAGTTATAGGTGAATCATCTTCAGACATGGCTTGAGAAACTGCAAGTTGCTTCTGGTGTGAGAGGATTGGCCATCTTCAGAGATGTTGCCCAGAGGACCCCCAGATATATTACTATCCTGTAGGAGGCTACTCTCATGTCACTGCATGGGAAGCTGGTGGTGGCAGATGGGAGCTCACTCTGTCTCGCGGATTTGAACTGCCAACCTCCAGATCAGCAATTCAGCCGGCACAAGGGTTTAATCCATTGCGCCACCACGCCTCCTATTCTAGATGGTATCTTCCATACTGTAGAATTGATATAATTTTATATGGTTAGGGTAGACTCGTATAATGTAGTTCGATGTAGTTGAACTGTATTATATGAATTCATTATATGAATGAGGCAAAGATGAAGTACTTTGGCCACATCATGAGAAGAAAGGAAAACTTGGAGAAGACAATTATGCTGGGGAAAATAGAAGGAAAAAGGAAGAGGGGCTGACCAAGGGCAAGATGGATGGATGGCATCCTTGAAGTGACTGGGTTGACCTTGAAGGAGCTGGGGGTCGTAACGGCTGACAGATAGCTCTGGAGTGGGCTGGTCCATGAGGTCATGAGGATTCGGAAACGACTGAACAAATGAACAACAACACACTGACCATACAATGCAGTTTAAAATTGCATTACATGGTAGTATGGATGAGGCCAAAGTTGTCTTGTGCCTGGATCTGTCCATTATATCCTCAGATTCTGTCTTACTTTCATGTTTTCTAAGAGGTTAAACTTTCCCTTTTTCCCCTAGAGTCATTTTTTTTGTACCAGAATGCCTTTGGGAATAACCTGAGTATAAAATGTGCAGTAACAGTTTATATTACTAGAACTAAATTGTTTAAGCAAACTGACTCAATATTCTGTATTTTTAGAGCTTGGGTCTCCAGATTCTCCCTAGATGCTAAATATTTTGAAGTATTTTATGGCTTACAAACTTGTTAAGGTTCTACGACCACTTCACTTCATGGCTCATTCCTCCAGACCCTTGGCGCATGTAACTGCTGGGTTTTCTGAGCCACTTCTTGAGATTTGTAGGTCTATTCAATCTAGAATATTGTATCATTTTTATTAGACATTACAAAATTGATTGATTCAAATCATGGAGATGCCTGTTTCAGGAATTACTTGCAAAGTGGCTTTTGTTTTCAAGAGTTATGGATTCTTGAGTATATTCCACTTTGTGTGTATTCCTCCTCTCACTAACCAATCGATTACTGACTATGAAGTCTAATTCTGGGTTGTACTACCCTCAACTAAACTGCAATAATTTACAGTGTGGATCCATTGCTTGTTTGTTCTTCTTTTTTCTTACTTGGCTTTGGTGAGAAGTGCTAAGAGAAGCAGAAATGCCCAACTAGTCAATTAGTTTGGCACTATGTGATATTCTTGCACTCTTCTTGGTGTTGATGGGTATATAACTACAACAACATATTTTATGTATTACCCCACTGTTCGTCCCTTTGAGCTCCTCCCTTACAAATACACTTTTCCACTCCTATCTCATCCAGGGTTTTATCATTTTATCTTGTGCATTTGGCCTGCCCATTGTATTCTATTTTTCACTATGTTATTTTGCACTGCTTATTTTATTCTGTTACTTTATGTATTTTATGGTAGTGTAATTTTTTCTTGGTTTTTTTTTTGTTGCTTTGTATTTTATCTTGCTGTATTGTAGTTTCGGGCTTGCCCTCATGTTAGCAGCCACGAGTCGCCTCCGGGGAGATGGAGGCGGGGTATAAAGTTTTTATATTATTATTATTATTATGATAGCTCGAAGTTTGATAGAGCCCACATTGTGGGGATCCCTGCCCCTATCAACCAAGAAAGAATAACCACAGCAAGTACCCAATATAATTTTGCTATTTCCAACGTTGGCAGTCTTTAGGAGGAGCTTGAAGACCTGGCTGTTCCAGTGTGCCTTTCCAGAATAGGAAACTCCCAGCATCATGTCCCAAACACACTTTATTAGAGATTTAAGGATTTTAGGGTAGGTGCACATTGCACCTACCCTAAAATCCTTACATTTCTCCTGTCATGCCCAGCACTTTTAATTTTTATTCATTACATTTGGCCCGGCCCTTAGTTTTTAAATGTCTCATGATATTATTGTTTTATTGTTTTACTGTTATTGCTTTAATGTTTATTGGTTTGCTTTTTTGAGTTTTATTGTTGTATTTGTTATGCTGTTGTTTTATTGAGGGCCTTGGCCTTTGTAAGCCGCACTGAGTCCTTCGGGAGATGTTAGCGGGGTACAAATAAAGTTAATAATAATAATAATAATAATAATAATAATAATAATAATAATTTCTGTTTTGAGAGAAATTGTAAATGATTTCTTTCATTAGGTTTTTGTCCTCATTTTTTCACAATGTTAGGAATAGTTTTATTGTAAAGTTACCTTTTCAGATTGATTTTATACTTTGTACTAATATAGGTCTGGTTCAACATCCAGCAAAACAGTTCACCTATGTGCGTCAGTTTTGATATTTCAAAGGAATGCTTCTGGAAGCAAATGCTTCCAGTTATTCCTCAGGATTTAAAAACACAGACTGTACAGGTAAATATTTCAGAATGTGTTTCCATGTTCAAATATGTGATGTATGTGTGTGTATGTGGGGAGGGGGGGATGGGACAGATAGAAATTGAAACGTGCTTATAAAGGTAAAGGTAAAGGTTTCCCCTGACATTAAGTCTAATTGTGTCCGACTGTGGGGGGTGATGCTCATTTCCATTTCTAAGCCGAAGAGCTGGCATTGTCCATAGACACATCTAGGGTCATGCGGTCAGCATGACTGCAGAAGTGGTACCTATTGATCTACTCACATTTGCATGTTTTCGAGCTGCTATGTTGGCAGAAGCTGGGGCTAACAGCAGGGGCTCGTCCCGCTCCCTGGATTTGAACCGCCAACCTTTTGGTCAGCGGGTTCAGCGGTTTAACCTGCTGTGCCACCAGGGGAAGCTAAATGTTCTTATACTTTCTAGGAAAAAAATACTTGAAAGAGGTAATAGCAGAAAGGGTGAGATGAGACAAAATGGGAAAAAGTTCAAAACACTTGATATCACCCTTGTTGGAGATAATAAGAGCAGGCTTATATTTAAGTAACTAAATAGGTTCTCCCCCACATTGATTAATTAATATGCTCAGCTGGAAAAAAAAGTTTGTTTAATGGGATGAAGTGATTTTGTAAACCCCAAACTCCTTATAATATGTCAAAAAAGCTGATGGTCTGATGCTACATGAGTTCATCAATAGAAGTACAGTTCCCCATGAAAACACGGAGTCATAATTTTGGGATGTGGCAGCTCTGTTAATTATAGGATGGCAGCCTGGCCAAATATGTCTTCTCTGCATGTAAATTCAGAATCTATAAATTTATTTTTTTAGTTTATGAGGAAATGAACATGTATCCTCCTGGGATCACGGGACAATGTAACACTTTTTCTTATTAGTAAAACAGATAAGAGAGTCCCAGTTAGTGGAAGAAATTTCCACTCACACAGTATTAATACCTCTGTCAGTTTCAGCACTTTTCTGCACAACGCTCTCATTGTTCATCAACTATGCCACCAACAATATCTTATGGAATCTCATTTCACACTTGCCTTAATGAAAAACTGAATTTTATCAGTAACAATCTGATTTTTTATTGAAAAGTGTAGTACATTTCAATTATGCATCAAGATCCTATCTAAAGTGTATTTCGGTGTTACAATTCCTTTATTTCAGCCAGAGAAAATGCATTATATCCCAACTGATGAAAGTTTGATAGAAGAACTACAAAACAGGTAATCATCATAATCAGGTATTGAGAATCTTCAGAATTAGAAGTTCAGGACCAAAATGGTTTTAATCACTCTGAGCAAGAAACATATTTAATATTATAACTTAATATTTGTAGGGAAGTAGGTTGTATTCACTACTACAGTCCCAGTTGTCACTGTCATTTATCTTTATATGCACTTTACATGTTTTAACCTGTTTTTATTCTGTGTATTTTATTTGCTTACTGTTTTAACTGTTTTAAGTTTATAGGATACGTTTTAAAACAATGTTTAAGCTGCATTGAATTTTGCCAGAGTTGTGCAGACCTCTGTGCTTTTCCATAGGTAACAGTTATGTATGTATGTAATTTATATGCTGCCTTTCCCCCAGCAGGTAAGTTAATTTAGGAGAGCCCTCTAGTTTTGATAACACCCCCCTTTAGCCTTTCTGCAGTCAGCTTGCCATTCTTCTTTGTGGAACAAGAATATTTTGAGAGATCCACTAGTGAGAATCCTGGAGCACTTCTGAAATGATGTTCCTGTTGTCTCTGACACAAGCATAACCTAAAATGGGGCAGGTTCATTCTTCCAGAACATGGTGGCCTTGCCTTTAAATGTATTATTATTATTATTATTATTATTATTATTATTATTATTATTATTAATTATTATTATTATCACAACAAGATGAGTCCACAGCACATACTCTGCTGGCTGTTGTATTGGATCACACGTTGGACACTTCCCAAGTATCCAGGACTGTGTGATATATCGGCAAATAATGCATACACATCCCAGTAAGGTGGCCTGCAACTGGCAGATGGTAATCTGATCAGCGCCGATTGTGTTTAAGTGCAGGCCAAGGTCTTTAGGCACTGCACCTAGTGTGCCAATCACCACTGGGACCACCTTAACTAGCTTGTGCCAGAGTCTTTGCAGTTTGATCTTTAAAACCTCGTATTGTGTCAGCTTTTCCAGTTGTTTCTCTGCAATCCTGCTGTCACATGGGCTTGCAACATCGAAAATCCATACTTTGTTTTTTAACACGATCGTGAGGTCAGGAGTATTGTGCTCCAAAACTCTTGTTTGTCTGAATTCGGAAATCCCAGAGTAGCTTGATGTGTTCGTTCTCTGAAACTTTTTCCGGCTTGTGATCCCACCAGTTATTTGTTGCAGGCAGGTGGTATTTGTGGCACAAGTTCAAATTAATCATCTGAGCAACGGTGTTATGCCCCTGCTTGTAGTCTGTCAGTGCGATCTTCTTGCAGCAGCTGAGGATGTGATCTATTGTTTCATCTGCTTCCTTGCAGAGTGTACATTTGGGATCTGTTGTCAACTTTTCAACTCTGGCTTTGATGGCATTTGTTCTAATGGCTTCTTCTTCTTCTTCTTCTTCTTCTTCTTCTTCTTCTTCTTCTTCTTCTTCTTCTTCTTCTTCTTCTTCCTCTTTTCTTCTTTGTGCTAGCCGGATGGAAATGTCGCAGTATCTTACTTCCCAGTTACCTGTCTACTTTGTAGTGGCAGTTCTGCTGTTTGAAATGAAAACACTATGTTGGCTTCTTTACCTCATTTCATTCAGCCTCCCTCCCTTTTCACTGGGTCCATACATAATTGGATTGTTTGCGAATATTCTATTATTCTACAACAATGTAGTGGTTTCATCATTAAACTGATTTTTAAAAATCCAGTACAATATTTTTAAACATTTCTAAACCTTTTCTTCCATAAAAGGATTGAAAAGACTTTAAAGAATAAAATAATGGAATGGCGATCCCAGCATCCAACTCGGTGGCATCGACAATGTACTAATGTCCTACGACAGCTTCTTCCAAAGCTAGAATTTAGAAATGGACATACAGCTAAGGAAAAAGAAGAGAATTATTTGGAGACTTTTCATGAGCACTATTGGGTTAGTGTCTGTGCTTACTGTATTATTGAACTACCCCAGTTCTTCTGGACACACCTAAAGGGCATTCCATGAGCCAGCCACTAAAATTATATAGCACACTTTCCGTGCTCACATGAAAGCGGGATTAATGCCACAATTAGTCTACAAGAATGCCTTACAGAAATAGGAAGTGCACTGGAACTACTACTTTGAGTCTGTTTTTACACCAGTCGGGTTATTCTGGTCTAAATCTGCATACACGCTCAATCCAGAGGCCATGTGCAGATGGTCAAGGCTGCGTCAGCCTTGTTGGGCTGTCATCTCATCCTTCATATTATTGCTGCCACTCCCCAACAAACACAGAGTTCTGAATAAGCGGCTGCCATAGCATCGCCTAACATAGCATTTTTCTCAACCTGGGGGTTGGGAACCCTGGGGGGGGGGGGGTCGCGAGGGAGTGTCAGAGGGGTTACCAAAGACCATAAGAAAACACAGTATTTTCTGTTGCTCATGGGGGTTCTGTGTGGGAAATCTGGCTCAATTCTATCGTTGGTGGGGTTCAGAATGCTCTTTGATTGTAGGTGAACTATAAATCGCAGTAACTACAACTCCCAAATGTCAAAATCTATTTTCTCCAAACTCCAGCAGTGTTCACATTTGGGCATATTGAGGATTCGTGCCACGTTTGGTCCAGATACATTATTGTTTGAGTCCACAATGCTCTCTAGATGTAGGTGAACTCAAGGTCAATGCCCAACAAACCCTTCCAGTAATTTCTGTTGGTCATAGGAGTTCTGTGTGCCAATTTTGGTTCAATTCCATCATTGCTGGAGTTCTGAATGCTCTTTCATTGTAGGTTAACTATAAATCCCAGCAACTACAACTTCCAAATGACGAAATCAATCCCTCCTCAAGCCCACCAGTATTCAAATTTGGGCATATCGAGTATTTGTGTCAAATTTGGTCCAGTGAATGAAAATACATCCTGCATATCAGATATTTACATTATGATTCATAACAGTGGCAAAATTACAGTTGTGAAGCAGCAACACAATATTTTTATGGTTGGGGATCACCACAACATGAGGAACTGGATGAAGGAGTCGCGGTATTAGGAAGGTTGAGAAACACTGTCCTAACATCAACACACTCTGATGTTGCCTGACCACACATCCTGGTTTTAATCTGTGAAATGTTGGAGCGTATATGTGCAGCAGTAGGTTTCACTATAGATAGATATGCAATATGTTTGAAGGAGTCCTGTGTGAGGCAGCTACTTCCATCTTAATTTCCTCATAAGAGGTCATAAATTAAAACCAATGACATGATGAAGAAATATTGGCAACTGCAGTCACCTCACTTGGCACTTACCTTTGGAGTCCTGGGGGGGAAAGTTGGTTTTTCTTAAAAAAAGAAAAAGAATACTGATAATTAGTACCTGTGGATGCATGAGTTTCGGTATATTCCTAGTGGCTGTTGTAGTAGGGGACAGAAAGAATAGTGGGGAAATTTTATATAACACTATGTAATACAAATTTTGTTCCTGTTTTATAAATATCATTTCCTAATTGGTTCTATCATAAAAACATGGGAAGTTTATTAAACTGCAAAAATGTTGTTTGTGGTCTGCACATAAGGTTAAAATGGCACATGAAAGGTTAAAAATGGCACATTGAAAGGTTGAAAATGGCAGCCAGAATAACAAAGTTTCTGGAGTATAACAACTATTTTCAGAGTAAGTACCGCACAATTAATCAGGAAATAACACTGAGTGGGTTACTGCAGGAAAATTGATCATGTTTTTAGTTAAATTTCCTTTAGATAAATTTTCTGCTATCAAATTATAAATTATTTTCTTGATTTGTTTAAATTGTTTTTCTTTTATAGATTGCTCAATAAGTTAGTAACAACTTAAGAAAAAGTGATGCATTGGGCTTTTACATTTTTTTAAAAAAAAAGCTGATTTAGAATTCTATTTTTGTAGGTTACAGGATTTCCTATTCAGATGCTGTATCTCGACGTACAGTCAATAACGGAGGCTGTTTATCAGACAGGAATTCATTCTTCGGAGGTTCCCAACACAGAATTTGCTCTTGCTGTGTATATCCATCCTTACCCAAATAACATGCTGTCTGTCTGGATCTATTTGGTATCTTTGATCCGTCGTCAGTAGTATCAGATCCGTTCAGGAATCACCAATTTGCTGCATCTGATAAATGTTTTCTCGTGGTGAATTTTTACTCTTATATCACAAAAAAGGAAAATGTTGAAGTTATATCTTCAGATTCATATTGTCTTTAAACAGCTGTTGCCTTTTCCCCGTTCTTGATATATTGGTTGTAAAAACCCTGCTTATTTGTGCATTAAAAGGTTATTATAAATATGTTCTTGTGGGTTTTTTTCGGGCTATAGAGCCATGTTCTAGAGGCATTTCTCCTGACGTTTCGCCTGCATCTATGGCAAGCATCCTCAGAGGTAGTGAGGTCTGTTGGAATTAGGACAATGGGTTTATATATCTGTGGAATGGCTGGGGTGGGGCAATTATAAATATGTTTTATTTTGTTCCTATAAAAATAAACAGTATTAAAGTATTAATAGTGTAATTACAGATTTGCATGCATAAGCCACACTTATATGCACGTCACAACAGTATGTTGCTCATTGTGCCCAGACTCAAATTACTGTTTCATCTTAACTATGTTTTAGTCAAAAAGCCATAGTCAAACTTTGGTATACTATATTGGTTTGTTTCTTTGTTATGTGTGGGTTCAAGCATGTCAAGCAATTATTAATTGGAAGCACAGTCCTTATTATTTTTATCATGTCAGAGATAACTGCAAGTTGTTTCTGGTGTGTGAGAATTGGCTGTCTGCAGAGACGTTGCCCAGGGGACACCCGGATGTGTTACCATCCTGTGGAAGGCTTCTTTCATGTATCCGCTTGGGAAGCTGGGGCTGACAGATAGGAGCTCACCCCGTCTTGCGGATTCCAACTTTCAGGTCTATTCAGCCAGCAAAAGGGTTTAACACATAGCACCACCATGGCTCCTAACCGTCCTTATGACCATTTTGAATAGGAGAGTGGAATGCCATAGGGTGTACATGCGATAGTTAATAGGATTCTCATGCTCTTTTAAACCCAGATTTCACTGGGCTAGTTTGTTTCACTCCAAAATGGCAACCACATGCCCCCCCCCCCCACACTCAATCTGGAGGTGTCCAGTTGGTAGTTTTGTTAGGTTTTCAAACAATTTTGCACATTCTGACAATCTTTTTTTAGGAGACTGTATAGCCATTTCTTCTTCAAAAGAGTAAGTGATCATCCAGATATTACCAAGCAATACCACTGCTGAGTGTTAATACAGCCACACTGCAAAATTGATACCAGTATTAAAATATCAAATAGTTTATTAATAGATTTTAATTCCATGGATAAATAAGGCATTTTTGTGTCCCTTAATCTACAGCAGTGGTTCCCAACTTGTGGTCCACTAGAACTGAAATATGGTCTGCAAGAAATAAAATATGTTCTGCGGCCTCACTGCTACTACACCATTGCAATGAGAGTGACTAGTCTCGCGAAACCCTCATAATCCTGAGGCTTGTTAAATATGTTTTTCTGTAGGCGAGCAGATGGTGACTACTGAGTGGCTTATGTTCTGCATCAGAAACAAGAGCTGATGTGGCCTATCCAATGCAATTTTCTGAATCAGCACCCCAAATAACCAAACTGAATCTAAAGTTGACCAAAAACTGATTTGTAGCCCTCTTAGTACTAAGGTTGGAGAGTGGTCCCTGGTCAGAAAAAAGTTGGGAACCACTGATCTACAGTGTTGCACATGCCAGTTATTAAACAAATAATTCAAAGAATATGAGCACTTCACACTTTTTGAATTTCTTTCCATATAATATAGTGATAATTTCTCACAAAAAAGGAGTCAGATCTCATCCAGTAGTATTCCTTTTTTGTCCATTATCTGTGCTATCCAAATCTAATTATATTATGGATGCATCATGGGTGTTGTAGTTTGGTGAGGCACCAGCACTCTTTGGCAGAGCTATGACAGTTAAAGTGGTGTCAAACCAACTTAATTCTACAATACAGATGCAGCCTAAGATGGTATGATGTCTAATGTATGAACTAACCATATATACTTAGAATTCTCTATGTGCATTATTGTGTATGAACTTTGCTCAAAAAAAAAAAAAAAAGACAGTTGGGTTGCTGTGAGTTTTTCGGGCTGTATGGCCATGTTCCAGAAGCATTCTCTCCTGAAGAAAGTTACTTATAACTATTACTTTCTTAAGACCAAGAGTGTTCAGTATTTCAACAGTATTCCAGTTTAGATTCAATATTAAGTTGTGCTCAAATCTGTACACAAAAAATCCCACCCTGCCTTCCCCCTTTTCCAAAAGAAGGTATCTCACAAAATGTAAGCACATTCACTCTGTCAGTTTCTTTTAAAATACTGTTTCCTGCTTCACACTTCCTGACTCTCTTTTTGGTTGTTACTAGTTTTCTAAATCAGACTTTAAGTGCATGCTCAGGTTGTGAGTCTCGCTTTACACATTCAAACACAGAGACTGATTACTCAAAACTAGTTTTATTTTTTAAAAAGAGTGCATGGCACTCGTGCAGATTGCTTTGTTGTGGATATTTCTCTCTCATGACCACGACACACGCATTTTAATCCCTGCAGCAGGAATGTCATGTAGTGTGTTGATTCAGTGGAGAATGACCAAAACCATTGAAGAAAAAAAAAAAACATCTGGAAATGGTTCACAGTGCATATTCTATTGTCAATATAATGCTAGAATATCAAACACAAAAGGCTAAATAATAAATAAATTTTAAAAATCGAAGAAAGCCACAAACCCAATAGCATGTAGTGGATCCTTTAAAAAAAACAAAACAAGTCTAATGACTTAAATACAAACAAGATACCCTATGTAGGCTTTACGGTGTTAACTAGAAAAATTACCCCTCCCTCCCCATAATTCCAGTGTTAATTAGCTAATGGTTTTGCATGTAAAGGCCTACAAAATAGTTTTCTTTGATTTATTAGTAAGTCTACTTTGCTGTCTTGCACATGGAGGATGAAAATGAAACCAATGCACTTTGCTGGTATTTCAAGTCATGGATCACCACAAGACTGTACATTCAAAGTATTACTGAGGTAGTCAAACAATTGAGTTTTTCATATAGGATCGCAAAACTGAGATGTGTATTTTTCTCTTCCAGATGCATTCTGTATCCTTCATCCTCATTTAAAAATGAAGCCATCGGAAATGTACACCATAGAACAAGACCTTCCCACTCTTAACTATGTTTCCCTTCTGGAGGAAGAAAGACAAAGAGAACAAAGCTAACACTAAAATGGGGATAGGAAAGAAGGAGCAAGGAATTCCCTAGCGTATAAAAGATGCTGTATGAATGCTTTCCATCCCTCTTTCTGAAATTCACTCTTTTTTGTGAGAGATGCCTCCAAAAATATATTATGGTACAAATAATTACCACGACAGAGGATTGCTTCTCCTCTAAATTAAAGAATATTTTCTTGCAACCTGTTTAGCGGTTTAAAAAAATGGCATTTGGTAATGTCATATTTCTCAAAATGTCAAGTGTTTTAGAACAGGGTTGTTGTAGGTTTTTTGGGCCGTGTAGCCATGTTCTAGAAGCATTCTTTCCTGATGTTTTTCCTGCATCTGTGGCAAGCATTCTCAGAGGTTGTGAACCTCACAATCCCTGAGGATGCTTGCCACAGATGCAGGTGAAACATCAGGAGAGAATAGGTTCTTGTGGGGTTTTTTCGGGCTATAGGGCCATGTTCTAGAGGCATTTCTCCTGACGTTTCGCCTGCATCTATGGCAAGCATCCTCAGAGGTAGGGTGCCTGAGGATGCTTTCCATAGATGCAGGCGAAACGTCAGGAGAAATGCCTCTAGAACATGGCCCTATAGCCCGAAAAAACCCACGACAACTCAGTGATTCCAGCCATGAAAGCCTTCGACAATACATCAGGAGAGAATGCTTCTAGAACATGGCCATACAGCCCGAAAAACCCACGACAACTCAGTGATTCCGGCCATTAAAGCCTTCGACAATACATTTAGGATAGTTTCTTCTTCCCTAGGAAAAGTGTGTTGTATTAACTTCCATATCCATGTTCTCCACCCCAATATTCTGCCCCCATGCTCAATATTTTCCATGCCCAAGATATTCCCAGACCAAAGGTTGCAAGTGCTACCCTATACTTCCAATGGCCATAGCTTCCTTTTCATATCTACCTTGGGTAAGCAACGTAATTTTTTAATTTTGTGACCTAGAGGACCTTTCCATATCAAACATTCTCTAGCATTGAGTTCCTCCCCCCATTTAAAATAATTCTTCTGATTAAGCTCTCTCACTTCTGATAGTTACGCAAGTAGCACACTTAGTGTGACTGTCAGATTCAAGCCATAAAATTATCAGAATCACTATTAATGTCATAGTAGAGACAGAAAACATAGCTCTTTGCTGGAGGTACGAATTTCCACTTCTTGTTCCTTCTATAGCCATTGAGTACAAGACGTGTATATCTTGTAAGCACTTGAGTTGTGCTTCCCCAGTGCAAACACTGGGAATTCATGCAATGAAAAAAAAACCAAAACAACAACACAGAACTTTTTGGATACAAGTAGTTGGTTGCATAAATTCGGGGAAACCACAGAAGGTATTCCCCATAAGCTATGGTACAGCATTGGCTTTGTTTAAACATAGCACCCTACTCCCCCACTCATTAGAAAGCACATTTCTGAGTGAAGGGAATAGCCTGGATGAGTATCTGAATTCCCTTTGGCATTGACAACTGCAATTAACGTAAGCAAGAGAACTCCAGATCACGACTTCCACAATACAGACCAGTATTACAGTAGTTTGATTATTCCCTGAGTTAGTATGACAATTTACCTCTAAATGATCTCAATGAAGACACAAGTTTTCTTTTTTGAAATAGAAGACATATATAAATGTTAACACATTATAACGCAAAACCTCATCCACAGGTATGGATGGGAAACAGCCTTGATTAAGTGAAGAGATTCTCACTTCTTTCTCACTTGGCTTCCCCATCTTCAGAAAAATGATGGCACTTCATGGATTTTAATCTTAAGTCAATACTGTGCAGAGGTGTGCAATAGTGGTCACTCTTTATGGGAAGACAAATGTGAATTCAGTGCAGTCAGAACGAAAGTTTGTAGTAGAGTATACCCAGCTTCTGTGAGTCTGAAATATTTTCCCCCAATATTCTGAGACTTTTAACACTCTTTCGGAAGATATGTTCTCATATCTGTAAATTCTGCACCTGAGCTATTTTTGAAGAAGGGAAATGGATTCCACCCATTTCCATTTCTATTCAGATGAGCAATGAGTACAGCCCTCCATGTTAGTTGATACTGATAGCATATAGGGTCCCGGTGTAGTTATCACCTCTCAAAGCACGGAGTAATACAAGGATAACGTCCCGCAATCTGGTAGCTTCGGTTGTATGAAACAGTTAAACATGGCTTCACTTCTATTGGTACAGCTAGGGACATCCCGGTAGCAGTCTGCACGTGGCCTCGAGCTTGGATACCACCTTGTAAACTAGCTGGACAAGCATGCAGTGGGTAAGATGGCGTGGGACCAGCTGACACAATTGGTTGACAGTTCTGTTGCGTTGCTGTTTGAGAATACTGCAGAGGGGTCTGATGCGCTTGAATATAGTGGTGTATATGCTGCTGAGGAGGTTGAGCCGCCGTTTGAAATAAACTGGGCTGGGCAGCTTGAGAAGTATGTCCTTTTTGCTTGTTGGCTTCTTTCACATCGTTATCATGGGCACTAGAATACAAAATTAAAACTTTTATTTTATTTTATGGCTACAATTCACAACCCACCAATCCTATATGCCAGTGTTTCTCAACCTGGGGGTCGGGACCCCTGGGGGGTCGCGAGGGGGTATCAGAGGGGTCGCCAAAGACAATTAGAAAACACAGTATTTTCTGATGGCCATGTGGGTTTCGTGTGGGAAGTTTGACCCAATTCTGTCATTGGTGGAGTTCAGAATGCTCTTTGATTACAGGTGAACTATAAATCCCAGCAACTGCAACTCCAAAATGTCAAGGTCTATCAAAACCCCACCAGTGTCCACATTTGGGCATGTTGAGTATTTGTGCCAAATTTGGTCCAGATGCATCTGTGCTCTCTGGATGTAAGTGAACTACAACTCCAAAACACAAGGCCAATTTTCTGTTTGTCACGGGAGCTCTGTGTCCCAAGTTTGGTTCAATTCCATCCTTGGTGGAGTTCAGAATGCCCTTTGATATTGTAGGTGAACTATAAATCCCAGAAACTACAGCTCCCAAATGACAAAATCAATCCTCCTCTCAACCCCACCAGTATTCAAATTTTGAGTGTATCGAGTATTTGTTCCAAATGAATGAAAATGCATCCCGCATATTGGATATTTATTTACAAGAGGATTCATAACAACAGCAAAATTACAGTTGTGAAGTAGCAAAGAAAATAATGTTATGGTTGGGGGTCACCACAACATAAGGAACTGTATTAAGGGGTCACGGCATTAGGAAGGTTGAGAACCACTGCCATATGCATATACAAAACATGGAGACCAGTACTTTCTCTGGCAGTTCTTTGTGGCCAATACAACAGTAAATGGAGTCCCATCTACTGCACATCTGTAGCAGCAATTCTAACATAATATAACAACAAAACCATGACTGACATTCTGTATTGTAGTTGAAGATTTGTAACCCAAAATTATGGATTCATAAGTGTTCTGCATGCATTACAGTAGTCAAGAATGTGATGACTATGGCACATGTTTAAATATTTGAAAGCATGTCACACTGAGGAAGGGGAAAACTTGTTTTCTGCTGCTCTGGAGACTAGAACGTGAAGCAATGTATTCAAACTGCAGGAAAAAAGATTCCACTTGAACATTAGGAAGACTTTAAATAAAGACTATTATTATTATTTGAAACACAACAAGATGAGTCCACAGCAGACACTCTGCTGGCTGTTGTATTGGATCACACATCGGACACTTCCCAAATGTCTAGGACTGTGTGATGTATCGGCGAATAATGCATGCAGATCCCAGTAAGGTGGCCTTCTGTAGCTGGCAGATGGTAATCTTGTCAGCGCTGATTGGGTTTAAGTGCAGGCCAAGATCTTTAGGCACTGTGCCCAGTGCGCCGATCACCACTGGGACCACTTTTACTGGCTTGTGACAGAGTACTTTAAATAAAGACTATTATTATTATTATTGACTTTAAATACAGACTATTTAAAGTCTATATAGACTATGATTATAATTATTATGGTGGTAAGAGCTGTTTGCTGTCTTGGAGTGGATTTGGTGGTGAGAGCTGTTTGGCAGTGGAATATGCAGTCTCAGAGTGGGTTTTTAAGTAGAGGCTAGATGGCATGGCTTAGGGGTACTTCAATTGTATTTTCCTGCATGTCAGAATACATTGGACTGGATGGCCCTTGTGGTCTCCAATTCTATTATTATTGCCATGATCACAAATGTCCCCCCAATCCATCACAACAGCCAGCAGTAACATAGGTTGAAAAGCGGTCTGCTCAGCTGCGGTTGAGATACAAGGAGGAGGATGTTTCCAGCCCCTTCTATTATTGTTAAGTAAAGGTTTCCCCTTGACATTCAGTCTAGTCATGTCCGACTCTGAGGGGTGGTGTTCATCTCCATTTCTATGCTGAAGAGCTGGCGTTGTCCGAAGACGCCTCCAAGGTCATGTGGCCAGCATGACTGCATGGAGTGCTGTTACTTTCCTGCCAGGGCAATACCTATTTGATCTACTCACATTTGCATGTTTTCGAACTGCTAGGTTGGCAGAAGCTGGGGCTAACAGCAGGAGTTGACCCCATTCCCTGGATCTGAACCACAGACCTTTAGGTCAGCAAGTTCAGCAGCTCAGCGGTATAATCTACTGCGCCATTGGGGGCTTTTCCTATTAGTGAGCAATGCTCTGATTTTTATTTATCGTGTCAGGCAACCGAATAGTTGTATTACATTTTTGACAGAAATGCTCTGATGAGGGCTTATGGCAGTGGTCCTGCTTCTGATTGTTGAAACCTCATTCATTGGTAGGAGGGAACTGGAAGTGCTGTCTTCCTTGCACCCCAATTGGCAGTGGTTGAGACCTCCATTTTTCAATGTGACAGCTAGCTGTTATGGTGGGCGTGATGAGTTGGACCAGGTGAGATTACTTAGATATGCACGTGTAACTAAGTACCTGATGTAGAATAGTGGTGTATATTAGAATTAATTTATTTTATTTATTTACAGCATTTTTACCCCGCTGTTCTCAACCCCTGGAGAGTGGCTAGAACACTGCCTTGTCTTCCCATTTTAGGTGAAAAGGGAAATATAAATAAATAACCACTTCTGCAGAATGGGAAAGCTATGGAAAACGCATGGTCGTGTGCATGTGTTGAGATGCCATGGTAGTTTAAGCGTACCAGGCTACCAAAGTGAGACACCACTGTAAACACTTACACCAATAGCCGTTCAATGCATGGCACCAAGAAGTCCCAGGAGTATGCAGTGAGACGATGGAGTCGCGCTGGCCATGTTGGAGAAAGACGCAAGATAATCCTTGACGAAGCCACGCATGCAGCAGCCACTAGCGAAGGGGCATAATTTAAAAATGCATGATCTGGAGAGACATTGGAGGATCACAGTTAAGTCAAACACAGTATTAGATGTAGAACTAAGGAACTGGGGGGTGTCTTTAGAACAAAGCCATGCGTACCTTGCAGGGAAACCTCCAAAAAGTAGTCAGCATATTTTGCCATATACAACTTTGTCTTTTCCAAGCAAACCATTGGCCATCCATCATGGAGATCCGATTCATGGACAGCAATAGAGAGATAATAGTCAATGAAGTGAGCTGCTGTTGGGAGGCAGAGGTTCCACTGAAAGGTTTCCAGTAAGAGCAGCTCCATGTGCAGCAAGTTCTGTTTAGTTAGGACCAGGTTCATGTTGGTCATACAACCCAGGTTGTTTAACTGTTCCAGTTTAGGCACACTGTCTTCCTTTTCTTCAAATTTACCTTGAGAGAAATGAGAAAGTGAAAAACCATTACACGGTTAACTATTTGATCAAACAGATTATGTATGTTTCCACATCTGAAGCATCATATCCCCAAATGAGAAGACACATTGTTAAAAACAGTTGCTATAATATTAAAACCTATGCGCCAGTTGTGCCTGTACCTTAGGAAGTCAGATTTGGCCATGCTCTGGTTACATCCCAAATAGATTAGTGCAACGCGCTCTACGCAGGGCTGCCTTTGAAGATTGTTCGGAAACTTCAAATGGTCCAATGGGTGGCAGCCAGATTGCTCACTGGAGCACACAACCCTGTTACACCAGCTCCACTGGCTGCCAATCTGCTACTGAGCACAATTCAAAGTGCTGGTTTTAGCCTGTAAATCCCTAAACAATTCCGGCCCTGCTTACCTGTGAGAACGTATCTCCCTCTATAACCCACCTCGGAAGTTGAGAGTATCTGGGGAGGCCCTGCTCTTGAACCTACCACCTTCACAAACGTGATTGGTGAGGACGAGAGACTGGGCCTTCCCAGTGGTGGCCCCTCCCCAATGAAATCAGGTCAGCTCCCTCTCTTCTGTCTTTAAGGAAAAAGCTTAAGACGTGGCTGTGGGATCAAGCATTCAACTGGTAAATAGTACAATAAGGATAACGGACTAATGGAATTGACAATTGGATAGGCCTTGGACTATAATCTGGATTTCATGATTTTAAGGGTTTTTAAAAATAATTTTTAATAATTAATGTTTAATTGTAAGGTTTTAATTGTATTTTTTATATTTATATTTATATGTATTGGCGTTGAATCGCTGCCTGCTGTAAGACCGCCCTGAGTCCCCTTTTAGGGTGAGAAGGGCGAGATACAAATATGTGAAATAATAATAAATGAATAAATTAGTTGTAACCATGTCCTGGGGGAAAATGCAACCACAATTCCAATATACTTTCGATGGTAAGCACAACCGGGTGTATTTTCTGGTAGTGACACCCTCATTTTCAATGGATAGAGAATCCAACATATATCTACAAATATATATTGGAGATAACAATTTTTTTCCAAAAAGCAAAATTTTAATTCAGGGTTTGGGAGTGTATATGTGGGTGTGTTTTAAAGGCTTAATCAGAATATTGTATTTGTCATTTGGGCTGTATAACTTGGAAATAATCTATTTGTATCTTCAAATATTCAAGTTCAATCAAGAACAAAAATTTTTGCGGCCCTTTAGAGACTAATAAGTTTGTCATAAGCTTTCATTGACTCTACCCAACATAGTACAATATGCAGCTAAGTTCACCCCAGATAAGATTTGTTGGTCTCTAAAGTTCCACAAGACTCATTGTTTTTGCTGTAAAAGGCTAAACACTTCTGACCCAAAATCTATTGAAATAGCTACATTAATTCTGGAAATCATTCTGCTCACAGTGAAGAATGCTCTGGCAAGGGACGCATGGATATCAATGAAACTATTTCACATCTCTGCATCTCTCTTGCAACTGAACAGCTTGCAGCATTTTGTGATTATATGGCATCCAACAGGTTGTAAAACTGGGCAGCGTTAAATGAGAATGGGAAAAATGGGCAACAGTTGCAAAACTGGGTTGCTGTGAATTTTCTGGGCTGTGTGGCCATGTTCCAGAAGCATTCTCTCCTGACGTTTCGCCCACATCTACGCCAGGCATCCTCAGAGGTTGTGAGGTCTGTTGGAAACTAGGCAAGTGGGGTTTTATATATATCTGTGGAATATCCAGGGTGGGAGAAAGAATTATTGTCTGTTTGAGGCAAGTGTGAATGTTACAATTGGCCACCTTGATTAGCATTGAATGGCCTTGCATCTTCAAAGCCTGGGTGCTTTCTGTGGTTAAACTTTGAAAAGAAAAATCCTGATATTGTGTATATAAAGAAGGGAGAATACCATTAAGGAAAACTCAAGCAGAACTACATTCAGGAAACATAAAGTGACAATTGGGAAATATTCTAACATTTGTTGGGTTTGGTAGCAATTGGGTTTTGAAAATAGTTAACCAAGAAAGTTGTAAACTCTAGTCTGTGGAACAATGTGAATAAATAGAAACAGAACTTGGCCAAGTGTACCAGAACTGGAACTCAAGATGATGTTGATATATGATTCTTAAGAGGTTTAGAGACCAAAGCCACTCACTTGCTAGACTTGAGTAAGGGCCAAACTTGTTCATTTGCAAGCCTGAGAAATATCAATTTGTTAAGCCTGTTGCTTTATACTTACTCGCTAAAAGCAAGCAGGAAAGAGCAACCACATGTAGCTGTTGAATGGAGATGTCATAACGGTCCATAAAGAGGTCCAGTAGATAAACAGCAAGATGTCGAGCAGCAGGACAGAGTCTGAAGCGGTTGCTCACAATGGCAATCAAGTCTGCAAAATATCTTCGGAGATTTAATTGCGGAGACTGGCCTTTATATGAGGGCAGCTTCAGCTCCTAAGTGGAGAATAATCCGGAGAATAATAAGTATTTTTAGGATGACACAACCACTGTTTAGGCACTTGAACTACAATTAAACTAGTATTAAATAAAAGGAAAAGACTACTAGGATTATAGGCTTCTCCAGAAGGAGCAAATGTGTCCACCCAAATTATTGGGTTGTTGTAGGTTTTTTTGGGCTATTTGGCCATGTTCTAGAGGCATTCTCTCATGACGTTTCGCCTCCATCTATGGCAAGCATCTTCAGAGGTAGTACCTCTGAGGATGCTTGCCATAGGTGTAGTCGAAATGTCAGGAGAGAATGCCTCTAGAACATGGCCATATAGCCTGAAAAAACCTACAACAACCCAGTGATTCCGACCATGAAAGCCTTCGACAAGACATTTGTATTGTTCTGGATTATATTCTGGCAATTCCTGGCATCAGCAGCTACATTTCATTCCCAGTTTTGAGAGGTTTTATTTTTAATTCTGAGACACATCAGAACAACACGTTTCCTTCTCCAACTTCCTTTAAACACTTTTTAATTTACACTGCATTAGTTAATTTTTGTGTATGCAAAATAACCCTTTTTTAAAAAGAGGAGAAACGTCATCCTTCAGACAGGACTACTTCAATAAAACCTACCACAGTTTTAAGAAAGTGCAAGCAAACGCTACAAAAATCTCCTGCAATGAGAAGCAAAAGTGGATGCAGTGGCAACAGGAGGAAACCAAACCCAACAAAAACCCATAGAGCTATAACATAAGCTCACCCTATAGATTTAAATTGAAGAACTCATATTCTAAAGACAAAAGCAGGTGATTTAGCTGCAAATGTAAATCCAAGTTTTTCCAGCTTGAAATACAGTAAGGCGTAACTGAGTATGTTCAACTATAAACAAGTGTGTTACTATGGGATAACTCTCCTTTGCTTCACAAACTGTTTGTGACTATGCTTATTTCCTGTATCTTCCAAAGTTTTATGATGAATAAAGGCCAGAAGTTTGAATCGATGTGGAATGACATTATACAGCGTACTGCAAGTCGGGACAAAGAGCTTCATCTATGCTGACAATCATGCCATCATCTAGCGTTGAATTAAGTCCTCCATGACGCACTTCATTTAGCACTTTAGAGCCAATTGACAAGCCACTGCACTTTAATTACTTATACCATCGTGTAAGCTGACATAATTTTCCATCTGCACTTTAAGAGCCTTAGCGAACTCCTTGACTGTGTTTAACAGCTATCATTCATGTTACTATCCATTCCCTGGCATTTGTTAATCTTGCTGTTAATTGTTTATGGTAGAGAGAGGGAACGGAGTAGCTCAGAAAGACCTGAGTATAACATAATAGGAACGGGAAATGATTGGAAGGCAAGGCCATGGCAACCTGAAGCTGTAATATATTAAACAGTCAATAATGAACTATGGGTTGACACTACGGCTGCTGAATGCGTCATGGAGGAGGGAGAGGCTTCCGTTAACCGGGGAGCCCTCATAGAAGTCGTGGTGGGGAGGGGGAGATACGGGAAAGGGAGACCTTTAATTCGGCCTAGGGAACGTGGAACAACATTAGTAATTCCAAATCGGTCTCCTGATACGGTAAGTTGGTGTAACCAGGATGGCGGTCCCTCCGAATTGAAAGTGGTGCTGTTGAACGCCAGATCTGTCAATGGTAAAACAACCTTCATCCAGGATTTAATCCTGGATGAACGGGCAGATCTGGCGTGCATCACAGAGACCTGGTTGGACGAAGCGGGAGGTGTAAATTTGACCCAGCTTTGCCCCCAGGTTTCTCTGTGCAGCACCAACCGAGATCCGGAGGGCGGGGAGGCGGAGTTGCAGTGGTCTATAGAGATTCCATTCTTCTGACCAGGGCCCCCATCCCGCAGTCAAAAAATTTTGAATGCGTCCACCTGAGGGTGGGTGACCGGGACAGATTAGGGATTCTGTTAGTGTACCGTCCACCTCGCTGCACTACAGTCTCCCTACCTGAGCTAGCAGGGGTGGTCTCGGACCTGGCATTGGAGTCCCAACGGCTACTTGTGCTGGGGGACTTCAATGTCCACGCCGAGACCGCCTTATCGGGAGCGGCTCAGGACTTCATGTCCACCATGGCAACCATGGGGCTGTCCCAACAGGTATCTGGCCCCACCCACAGTGCTGGACATACATTGGACTTGGTTTTCTGGCAGGGATGGGAGGAAGGTGGCGGTGTTGAGGAGTTATCCATCTCTCCGTTGCCATGGACCGACCACCACCTGGTCAGTTTAGACTTACTGCACCCCCTAACCTCCGCAGAGGTGGAGGACCTATTAAACTGGTCCGCCCCAGGAGGCTTATGGATCCGGATGGATTCCTGATGGCTCTTGGGGAATTTCCCGCCACCTCGGTTGGTGATCCTGTTGATGCCCTGGGCGCTCTCTGGAATGGGGAGATGACTAGGGCAATAGACACGATCGCTCCAGAACGTCCCCTCTCAAGTAGCCGAGCTAAACCAGCTCCTTGGTTTACTGAGGAGCTGGCAGCGTTGAAGCGAAAGAAGAGGGAACTAC